AAATATGATTGAAGAAGGGGAAAATAAACTTGGAGGAGAAAGACAACCTAGTACCCGCCAAGGAGCTCCATCCACTTCAACATTGGTGCCGACTTTAATGTCGTTACTAGATAACGCATAAATCCCTGAAAGTGGAGAAAAATTACAATGCTTGAACCGTGGGAATGATTCTCAGTTGAAATGAAACTGCTTAATGGGAAAATCGAAGGGTTTACTCGAAAATCCGGGGCGCGAACTTGCCAAAGAAACCTGCCGGATTGGGAGAAGGGACGGCTTGAAAGGCAGGGAAAGCGAAGTCGTTGACGATGAGCGGCGGCCGAGGAAAGCAGAAGCCGACGAGGCGCTACAGACTACGATGTCAGCCATGTGTTCGTACTCCGTACGTCTCCGCGACTGGGTGGTTTTTCTGAGCCTTCCCCCTCGACTGAGGCGTCCCGCCGAGATAAGGAGGGCAGAATTTCACCTTTTAGTTTTACCGCCAATCGTCAACCGCTATCTGCGCTTCTTTGACGTAATCCCCGGTAATTCCCCCTTTCTTCTATAGTTCATGTATATCTAATCCTATTTCGTCATTTTAAATTACAACTTAATTGGAAAGTATTTCGCTCCTTGACGGCAATTTGACAACTCAGTACTTTCTTTTTTAAGTTTTACATTCTTGCATATCTCTCTTTAACGTCAAACATTTAATGATGGTATCATTTGATTTGATAATATCATAAGAGTTGGATTTCTTACCCAATTAAAAAAAAATCATAAAAGCAACCACAATTACCTTTTTTTTCTTTTTAGATTGCAAGTTTTTTTTCTTAAAGTTTTAACATCCATTCTACAACTGTTCAGCTCAAATAATAAAAAATAATTTGATAACACCGTAAAAAATAGATAAATAAGTTTGAGAGTAATACCCTCTCTCTTCATAGGTGCCTCACCATAAATGTTGAATGTTGTGAATTTGAAATTAAAATTTTTGCTACTCTTCTCTTTCTCTACAAGTGTATTCATTAAACTAATTAAATAGTCTCTCCTATTGTTCGAGTTATTGCGAGTTTGAAGTCTAACATTTTAGATTCTACCTTTCATATTCATCATAAACTTTATACAACTTCGGATGCAATAAGAGGGACGAGATATATATAATAGAATTCACTAAACAATTATACACTAATCCAATCGAGGTAAATGTTCATTAAATAAAATTAGTTACTATGCAAACTGAGCCCTGCATCAGGATAAGAAAGATTCAAGATAAAAATTAAAATTTAAGAAGAAGAAAACACCGGACAAACAATTTTAGAGAAAAGATACTAGTTATTTAATGGTGCACAAGATAGTATGTTAACCATATTTTTGCACTATTACGTGTAATCTCCCAAGTTTGCATGAAGCCTTTTGTGACTCTTAAGACATTTTATTTGGTTATGTTTGGTAACATCAGTAAAATCATATATACGTGTCATCCGACAAACATGAAATGGGTATGATGGTCATCGTGAGCTTGTAGCCTCCGTAGACTATGTGGTGGCATAGCTTAAAATATTGAGATACATAACAATTAAGTCTATGTATAATCTCCACAATCATTATCCTTTAATTTAATCACGACTTATTGTCAAGAGGTAAGAAAAAAAAGTTCGTATAAAATAATCAACACAACGTCATAATCTCATAACAATAGAAATGTCTTATAAATTATCGTCATATTTCATCCTAGCTAATTTATGGTTAAATATATCTACTTTTTTGTATCTAGAATTTTATAATTAAGATGTATCTTCCGAGCACAATTTCTATGACTTACATTCCACATGTGGATTAAACAAAATCACGTCTTCACGTGATTTTATTGCTTAAAAGATAATCTAGTGGTTAATTGGCTGGTATAATAGTAGTATGCTTTTTCCAATGGTAAAAAAAAGTTATAGGTGATAGTTGAAATCATTGTTTAAAAGGCGATTTTCATATTGTTGGGATTATGGAGTCAAATCGACGTTGGAACGAATTGGGACGAGTTAAAATAATGAAGGAATTGAAAAGAGAAATGAAAATGCTGCATAAGCTATTCAAGTCGAAAGGATAGTATTGAGACACTGTTGGGAGCGTCTCAACACTCCGATATTAATAGCGAAAAGAAGGAGGCGACAAATTAGTAAATCAACGCTACATGGTAGTAGCATTGAGACACTGTAGGCAGCATCTCAACGGTGTGACGAGATTTCTTTAAATACATTTTTTTTTTCGTTTTAGGTTTTAATAATCATGTTGGTGCATAATTGCGTGGCAGCCAGATCATTTGTTGGTGCATAGTTTCAGAGAGCTGAGAGGCAATATTTGGTAGAGTATCAGAGGCGAGATCTCGAGGTTGTAGAGCATCGTTGGCAACCTATTCTCGTGGGTATTTGGTGATGTTTTTGTCTTTTTTTTTGACAAAATTTTAAATACAAATCTATCGAATGATAAAATTTGCAACAAATATAAAAAATATGACACTTTGTAAGGTGCAAATCGATACACGTTGTCAAGTTTAAATTTAAAATGAATATTTTTCTATTATGTTTATATGCATTTGTTCCTCCGATGTAAAAATCTTAGATCCGCCATTGTCCTTATCGATACAAGATGACTAATCTTTTCCTTACCACCATTTAACAGAGATACAAAAGTAGAGATAGGAATAACGAGTTATCAATATTTTAATGGTGTTTAGTACAATATATTTACTCCTAAGTAGCGATAGGAATAACGAGTTATCAATATTTTAATGGTGTTTAGGACAATATATTTATTCCTCCCAATGAGGAGCAAGTATTTTCCTATCAATATTATATTAAACAAACAAACAAAAACAAAAATGAAACCACTAAAAAGGAAAATAATGCCATTTATATTGACTATTGTATTTATATGGAAAAGGTAAAGTTTTCATACAGAGAAAAAAAAAAGTCTACGACCAATTCAAATATATTAATCGGATGTGAAAATTGGAGAATGCAATCACAGTTTTAGTATATTCACACAGCACCAACCAAATCAGTGGTCTATTTCCACGACAATAAATTGATATTTCGTTTTCTTTTTGAGAAAAATAAATTTATATTTCATTGTTTCGTACTATGTCTGGAGTTTTATGAAAAAAGCCAAAGTCCATCGACAACTGGTATAAAAATTATACAACAAGAAATAAGYAGAAATAGGTTGTTGATCATGGTTTCATTAATTATCATATATTACACTTTCAACAATTCTGATTCAATTAATCATCTTCATGTCAACGTGACTAAACTATAAAATAAATATGTTAAAAAGTTTCTTACTAAAAAAATTAGCAAACATAACATAGTTAAGCAACAAAGATACTTTATTCATTCATTTGAGGTTAGAAGTTCGTTCAAGTCTCCACCCCACATGTTATATTAAAAAAATAATGATTAAAATGTGAAATAGGAGCATTATTATCCCGGGAAAGAAAAATAAAATAGGAGCATTATTAAGGATGGACAACCAAGCGCAGCCAAGGAAGAAAGAGAAGGAAGAAAGAGAAAGAAGAACAAAAAGAGGAAGGTAACTGATTAGCACAAGAACAAGGCTTTTTTTTGTTAGCGAGATTGGGGTTTGCTAAAGAAAAGAGAAAAGGAGATACGATACTGATTTGTTAAATCATTCGTTTGTACACAAATACAAATCATGTCGTGCCCATCACAAATTCTCGTGCAATAATTGCTGTTCATGACCACCCCATTTCCCTTAATTAATTAACACCATAATTCAATAATCTATAGTTTATCGTACTTTACTCTGCTTTCCTGTTTCGCCTTTGCTCTAATTCAAACTACCACCGAGTACACACCGAGTTGTCCGAGTGGGAATCGGAAGGCGTGCGCTGCGGCTGCGACCATTGCGTCGTGCGTCGTGGGCGTGTCTCCGGATGCGAATGTGATCGTGATAGTTGCCTTGCCTGGTTGGCCTCTCTCTTTCAGCGCGGTTGGTGATTGGTGTCCTCACTCCGCCCCCGCCGCAGGTATCCGTATCATCACCTAATTAGCACACGTCATCACCAATCAAATCAACGCCCCACGGCCCACGTTCCTTTCTATTTCGTATTTCCAGCCCTCCGATGGCACCAGCGTAGTAGAGTAGATAAAACGAGGCCATTTCGGTCATTTCGCGCTCTGACCCCGTAGTGCATGCGAAATATGCGATTGGATTAAAAATCGTAGTGGCGCATTATACGGAGCTGTCTTTTTGGCGCAGCAGCAGTATTGTAATGTCATTTGGATTTTCATTTTCCGAGGTATTTTATCCAACCCTCTGCCCTCCACCTTTATGTTTAACTTAACCACTCCCTTTTGTCGAGCGCTGAGGATATTTCCGGAATTTCGCCGTAATCACGCTGATCTATCAATGATGACAGAAACGGCGAATTTCCATCCCTTTTTTTCAATTAAAAAAGGAACTTAATTACAGCGTCATGTCAATTGGCTTAGACGCTATGGTCCTTTTGGGGAGGGATTTTTCCTTCCCCATATTTTATATCAATTTTTTTGAGCTTTTTATGTCTACAATGTACGTTTATAATTTTTGAAGCATATTATAAAAAGAATAATAAAAAAAAGGGGGTAAGTGGGGGGATGGCCGTGTCTTGAAGCATCATCGTGCATCAGTGCATGCATTTTGTGCCTCCTCCTCCTCCTCCTCCTCTCTCTCAATCTCACTATATTTTCCGGTTGCTTCGCATCCACACGTCTTCTCCGTCCAAACTTTCCGATTCCGATCAAAAATCCAGCTCTAAGGTACCCGGAATCTTACTCTCCCCTATTATTCCTTTCTCCGCCTCTATCTTCAAAGCTTCAGTGCTGCTCTATTTCATCTGAATGTTCATATTCACAGGGAAAGTTGCTCACCTTGCTTACAATAGTAGTCGACGAGTTTAGCTGTTTTAGTTATTGTTCGAGATGGAGAAGTAGCTATTATCTTAGTTCTGCTTCCCATATGCTTGTTTGTATGATGTCCTGTTTTCTCGACTAATTTTGACTATGAATTGCTCGACTGCTGGAGTTTATATTATATAATTAGGGTTTTTGTTTCTACATCTTGGATATTAGTCCTGTCAAATTTTCCGAATTGAAATTGAGGATGGCTTCGAGGACTTGCATGAATGTGTCGTGCGGAACATCCTCCTCGACCGAGTGGAGGAAAGGTTGGGCTCTGCGATCTGGCGATTTTGCAACTCTCTGCGATAAGTGCGGGTAATTTTTCGGGAACATTATCTATTTTAATGTTGTAGAACGCAATGGAAATTCCGTTGAGGTTTCTGCGCTTTGGCTGGTCTATATTTTTGCTGCATATCACACACGTCCTCTCTCTCCCCTTCTTGTTTTACGCTTGAGGATAATGGGATATAAGTTTTCGAAGTTTATTTGGCGTGTGGCTGGCCATCAGATTTATAATTTAGCTGTCGTAGTCGGGAATTTTATTGGCACACTTGTTCCATTTGTTATGTGATTTAATTTACACTTTTATTTAGTGTTTGAAAGCACCAAAAAGATGAGGAAAATATAAATATTTTGTATCTCGTGAATTTCAATTTAATCATTAGTACCTTATAACCACATATACTGCGGGAGTCTGGTATAACTTTATTAGACTAACAGTTCATAGCTCCATTCTTTGGCCTCTAACAACAGTTCATAGTTCTATTGGACTCACAGTTACTAGATTCTTTTCTTTTTTTGCCCGTATGACGTCAAGAATACATGATGTAGAAGCTGGAGCTGCAGCCGAAGCAGCTCTAAGAGTGCATTCAAGAGGCTTAAATTAGCTTTGAACAGTGAATTTTACCAGTAATAGTTTTTTATACAAATTTCATTTTCTCCCCATCATTTGCAGGTCCTTTTTGCACTGCGTTACACTATCTAGAATAAAGCAATTTGGTGCATAAATTTTATCATCTTATTTATGTCAAACATATTGAATTTGAGATCCCAAAATTTCATTTAATGAATTGCTAATAGGTCTGCTTACGAGCAGTCAATTTTCTGTGATGTGTTCCACTTAAAAGACTCTGGTTGGAGGGAGTGCACCTCATGTGGCAAGGTAAGCCACTTAGGAATAATCAATCCCTTTTCTTTTCAATTCTTTATCTTTCTTAGATGCCTTGATTTTTATCAAAGGAAATTTCATCGCAGCATCTTCATTGTGGATGCATTGCTTCCAAGTTTCTGATGGAGCTTCATGACAGTGGGGGGGTGAGCTGCATAAGCTGCGCAAAAGTTTTAGGACTTCATACTGTAAGATCATATGTTTATATAACTCACAAATTAATGGTGTAACTTTCAAGCAATTGACTAGCCCAATATTTAATAGCCCATAAATGCTTAATTTTTTGATCTCGAACTTATGCCTTGTGGCTTATCCTTCCACACTTTAATAAGATCCTTCACTTGAAGCAATGAGTTACATGCTATATTTTAGCATCTTAGGTAATTAAGTTGAAGGTGTTCCCGCTTGGTACAATGATGTAATGTTTTTTTCTGTTGCATCTTCTATGATTAAGCAATTGATATATATAAATAAAACAGATTCCTTTTGTCTTCTGTAAATGACTTGCTATATGAGTTTTTGGATGATGTAATGTATGCACCGAGATCATAAGATTCTCCATCCTTCCGACAATTATTTTTTCGTAGCGTAAGATATCTGATACATAGTTATGCTTACGAGGTATATTGTTACAGACTGGTACTGGTGAAAAGCTGAATGGACTTAGCACATCACAAGTTCAAAATTCTGGTGAATTACAATCATTTTTAGTGGAAGATGGTAATGCTGATAGAATGAGGTTTATCCAGCCGGGAAACAAGACAGAGGTAAATGAGCTTAGGCAATCACTTCTATCTCAAAGCAATAACAAAAATGGATCCTTAGTTCAAATGAAACGCGAGGAAAATTTCCCTCCAGCGAAAGATGTTGGGTATCTCTGTTCCTTGGAATTCAATCAGGTGACGAATGGGTTGGATGAAGCTACTAAACAGGAAATCTGCAAAGCAGACAGTGGAACAAAATTTACTTATGATTCACTTGCTCTGGGTTGTGGTAACTCGAATCCTCTTCCTGGTGTTTCTATTGATGACAAAGAGGATAGCAAGTCATCCTCTCCTTTGCTTCTAGGTTCTAGATCTCGTCATCTTATTCCAAAGCCTGCACGTTCAGTATTTAACATAGGTTTAGAGCCAAATGCTAGCATGGTTTCACAAGTACGTGTTGCGAGGCCACCTGCTGAAGGGAGGGGACGGAATCAGTTGCTTCCTCGTTACTGGCCCAGGATTACGGACCAAGAACTGCAGCAGATATCTGGAGCGTATCCATCCCTTCAATTTTAATTGTTCTATTACTTTTTGGCAGCATATTTTGTATTTGGGTGTTCCTCTTTTTCTTGGTTTGTAAAAGGAAAAATGCTATTTCTTAACGATCTGCTCTTAAGTTCAAATTCCACTGTTGTGCCATTGTTTGAAAAGATGCTCAGTGCCAGTGATGCTGGTCGGATAGGCCGATTGGTTGTCCCAAAAGCATGTGCTGAAGTAAGACCTGTATCATAATCTAGCTCTAGCCTAGTTTTGCAGAAATGTTTAATGTTTAGTGTAGTGGATATTGTAATCTGTTAGGTGATATATTAACATCTTTTCAGGCATATTTCCCTCCAATCTCTCAGCCAGAGGGACTTCCTATAAGAATTCAAGATGTCAAAGGAAAAGAATGGGTGTTTCAATTCAGGTTTTGGCCCAATAATAACAGTAGAATGTATGTTTTGGAAGGTGTAACTCCCTGCATACAGTCCATGCAGCTACAAGCTGGAGATACTGGTATGTTTGATGGCGGGATTATTTGAAAGCATTAATTTTGAATTATTAATGATTAAGTTAGTGATTTTATGTTTCTGTTGATCACCCCTCTAATAATAAACGCCTGGGAATATTCTGTGGTTTGTTCCTGCTGATTTACGAATCAGTTTTCCGCTTCCATCAAATCTTTCAGATTGTCAGGACACAGGATTATCTTATTATTGTTTCTGGAGGTACCATAGGGCATTTACCAATATTGTATGGTTTCATTTCATTTTTGGTGCAGTGACATTTAGCCGCATGGATCCTGAAGGCAAACTTATTATGGGATTTCGCAAAGCATCAAGCTCTTCTATAATGCAGGTATCTGGCTGCTGCAGGTTTTTAAATGTTGAATACTAAAGAAATGTAAAGTTGAGATAAAATTAATTGTTGAACAGGATACTCATCCAACTGCCCTTTCTACTGGTGGTCATTCGAGTGAATTTTTTTCAAGTTTTTTTGAAAACCTTCCTATTTTAAGTGGCCATTCTAGCCTTCTCCAGTCCTTGAAGGGCAACATGGATCCCCAGCTCAATTTATTGCCTGGGTACTTCAATCAACCTGGTGCTGATATGAGCTGGCAAAAGGCTGAGAAGCATGATGATAATTCAAGAGAGGGCTTGCTCCTGTCTTCAATGCTGGTACCAGAGAGAAAAAGAACTCGAAATATTGGGTCTAAAAGTAAAAGGCTGCTCATTGATTGTCAAGATGCTCTGGAGTTGAAACTCACTTGGGAAGAGGTGCAGGATTTGCTTCGTCCACCTCCAACTGTCAAACCGAGCAAGTTCATGGTTGAGGATCATGAATTTGAAGAATATGAAGTATGTAATATATGTGGTTTTAATTCTTATGTTGAGAATGTTATATACTTGTTTATCAGGGACAAAAGATTTCTTCCCAACCTTGTTTTATTGTCGGTCCCTGTTTGTACTGCTTTGTCCCAAGCTGTAAATACTGAACGAGAACTTCTCTAGTTTCTCTTCACTTATTAATATCTAAGCTTGTGGGTGGGTTGGGGTGGGGTAAGAGGTACAAGTGCGTCCCTGATATTTTAAATTTCAGCTGTTCTTTTGCTCTATGAAACGTGATTTTCCATATGATAAACTTAGAGAATAAACTTGAAGCAAAGCCCTGTGTCTAAGCAAAATACTTATCTCCAAGTAATTGTTACACGTTACTAATTTGACTAGCATGAACCAATTCCCTGTGTGTTCATACAGGAACCTCCAGTTTTTGGGAAGAGGAGCATTTTTGTGGTTCGTTCAACTTGGTAAGAGTTTATTATGTTTAATAATGTTCAGAGTTCAAATTTTAGAAGTTAAACAATTTAACATTTACTCTAGCAGTAACTTCTTAATTTGGCAGTTAGGGACAACATTTGCACCACATATGTCCACGTCATAACTTCCATACATACAGCACTAAGATGGTCTTCTCTTTTTCAGAATACTGCAGTTCATAGCATTTCGAGTACTTAACCTCTTATTTTCAGTTCCCAAAATATAGTCCTTTTAACAGATATGCCTCCTACCAGGGGACAAGAGCAATGGGCACAGTGTGATGATTGCTCTAAATGGCGACGATTGCCAGTTGATGTACTTCTGCCGTCCAAGTGGACATGCGTGGAAAATATTTGGGATCAAAGCAGGTAAATATTTATTTTCTCTGTCTTTGTCCTTGTCCACCCGAGGAGAGGTTTTAAGGTCTTGGTGAGACAACTTATACTGTATTTAAACTTACTGATATTATATCAGGAGTTCATGTTCTACACCCGAAGAATTGACAACAAGGGAACTGGAAAATCTTCTCAGATTGAATAAGGGTATGGACGCAGACCATTATATTTTTCTGATACTGATTACTGTTRGTTACCCCTCCACTGTGTCTGTCAGATGAGCTTTCGTTGATGCATTTAAAAGAAACGACACTATACTAGTATATACCACAGTTATAATAGAAGTTTAGCATTCTCCACACATATATTAGAACTTATTGTACACAGGATTATTAGGTCATAATCGTCACTTCCACTGCATAAGTTTGGCTGTGAATTTAAAACCCCGAAGAGAATGCAGCTTTGCACATCTCAAGATTTACACTTGTTGGCTTTTAGGGATCTAAATGCAGAATTTTGAAATAAATGTGAGTTGGCACATTTCAGTCCTTGAGGTGAATATAAGTAACTGATAGAACCCGAAATATATTGAAAGATAAAAGATAAACGAACTACAATAGCTGCCAAGTATTAGAGGTACTTGGACCCTCCCCTCTTGAGATATTACTCAAGCCAAAACCATACTCACTCATTGGATACCTTCATCCTTACACCCACACTCTATTTATAACACTCTCTCTAACTACTTTCCTATCTAATTACTAAGGTACCCTCAATACCCTAATAATATCCCTTTATTATCCTACGGACCAATCCTATCAGTAACTTGAGGGATGGATGATCATATGCATGGTCAAAGAGTTGCTTATTTTTAGGTAGTAAGGAACAGAGCAAGTGTTATATTAGCAGCTACTCAAGTTCTTCCATGTCTTATCCCGATGTGTAAATTGCATTTAATTCAGGCTTTCCATGAATTATGTTTTCACGTTCACTTAGTGCTTAATGCCTAATTTCCAGAATTCAAGAGGCAGAGAACGTTGGCTTTCAATAGGCCAATCCAGGATCATGAATCCTCCGGTCTGGATGCTCTGGCGAATGCTGCAACTTTAGGAGATAATGTCAGTGACCCAGGTGCTGCATCAGTTGCAACTACAACGAAACATCCGAGGCATCGTCCTGGTTGCTCATGCATTGTGTGCATCCAACCTCCCAGTGGAAAGGGAAAGCACAAACCGACATGCACGTGCAATGTTTGTATGACAGTTAAACGTAGATTTAAAACTCTAATGATGCGCAAAAAGAAGCGGCAATCAGAGCGTGAAGCTGAAATTGCACAGAAGAATCAGCTTAAGTGGGGCTCTAAAGATGAAACGGAGTTGGACAATACCTCGAGACATGTATCTCTGAACCTCGGTCCCTCTGAAAATGAAACCCAACTGACAAATGATTCTAGGAGCCAAAGTAATTTGGTCGAAACTGGCAAGGACCAATTAGATTTGAATTGCCATCCTGACCAAGAAAATGAAATAAAAGGGGTGTCAAACCGAGTGAGCATGATGAGTCTTGTTCAAATTGCAAGCCTGCCATTGGAGACTTACTTGAAGCAGAATGGTCTTACAAGTTTGTTATCAGAGCCACAGGTAAGTTCGGCATCACATGTGCCAGCGCAAGGTGCAAACGAGGTTGAAGGAGCTCTCAACGATGATGGGTGTTTTGCTTCTACCGCTCAAGATCAGGAAAGTGAGGAAGAAGAAAATCGCGAAAAGGATCAAAGTTGAAATTCAAACCCAATAGTCCGATCCGTGGTTCTTGTTTATTATTATTATTATTATTAAATACTAAAATCTAAAAATGTAGGTTATTTAATTTCAGTGTAAATAGCAAAATGTTTGAGGTTTGTTTTTTCTGCTGGCAAACTGTACATAACTTTCTTCTGGTTGATACTGATAGTGCAGATTTTTTCCCGCTGTCTGAATAGAATGTTTATCTTAATCCTTAGATCTGGATGCTTTTCCCAGTTTCTTTTCCTTTCCTTTGCTTTCAAGTCGAGCATACGATTATAGGCTACATTTCAATATGGGAAGGAAGGAGAATTTCGTGATGGGGCGAGGGGCAGAGTTAAATAACAATGAACAAATAGTGTGGAAGAGGGCAGCTATTGATAGTAATTGGTGATGGGGTTGGCTAGAGCTACACGCTTGAACTTGCCTTTTACGCGTGGGGATGGTTTTAAGATGCTGTAAATATTCAAAATGACCGCAAGGTTTTGTGGGAGACGGAAGGAAAAGATCCGAATGCCTTGCCCATGACATCCTAAGTTCAAGGATCATGCAACTGTGATTTCTTTTCTTGGATACTTCACATTTCTTTCAACTCTCAATATACGGCCCATTTCTATTTGTTGTAAAGAGTTTAAGCATTACGCAGGAGGTCTCCAATTTTCTTGTGGACTTCATTTATCTAGCCTCAACCTTACAAAGAATTTCTCATCAGACTACCTCGAGTTTGACAACCGTTCAAGCGAGAGAGAAGAAAGATTCTGGCCTGAAACCATTGGCCGCTTTCAACCTCATAACATGTCGAGGAATGGCTACAATTCTTGGTACGAGTGCACAGATTATTCCGACTTGGGGCCATGTTGGCATTGTCATCAAAAGTAATATATATAACCAATGAAAGAGTTATGTTGCACATTAGAGGTGGAGATAAGACAGGACGGAGGTGGTAGAAAGCTCAAACAGATCTCTGTTAAACGGCACTTTGCATCAAGCGATGCTGGCCCAATCCCACCAAGGCCACCATAACCAAATTATATCTACAAAACAAAGCGTTTTTCTTTTACAACAGCACGAGGGGTTGCATTTATCTTTTATGTATTCGTTTGAATCACCAAAAAAGTAGGAAAATGAGTATAAAAAGAAAAAAAAATAGCGCTAGCGCATATACACAATCAAAATCCTTCAACCCCAGTTCGCCGAAAGGCCGATGACGATGATTTTCGGCTTCCTTGTCTATTAAGCTCCTCAAGTGAGTGCGAGGAACAGGCACGTGGTGGAAGAGATAACGGCAGGGAATGCCTAGATGGAGATACAGACAGCCGCGCTCCTGAAGGAGGCGACGGTGAGAAACTCAACCTGGGCGCTGGGGTGATGATGCCATTAAGGCTCGGAGACCTTGCAATCTGTTTTCCAGCAACTGCTGCAGGTTCTTGCAAAGGAAACCGACAGGAGTGCTTCATATCTTGTATGCTGCTAAGACGTTCAACAATTGTTCTCATTGTGGGTCTTTCAGATGGATCTTTCTGAAGACATCTTTGGGCTATATCAGCCACCATCCTTGATGCTTTAGACGGGAAGCGTCCTTTAAGCTGAGGATCCATGATCAGTGACAGTCTACAGTCATCTGCGAGGAAAGGCCGGCTCCACTTAACTAAGTTGCGCTCTTCCTTTGGATGACGGTTATCGAGATTCCTCCTGCCAGTGAGAAGTTCCAGAAGAACAATTCCAAAACTCCAAACATTGCTCTTAGGAGTGAGTAACCCTCTCTCCAAGGTTTCCACTGATAGACTTGCACCCACCTGTATATAATGCCGAAGTAAAAGGTCATTTACACTCCCACTTATTAACCATGTAATGAGAGAGGGTGGTTTAAGAGAACAGAAAAAGTGCAGCATGTCCCAGTACCAGGTTATCATATACAATACATGTAAGAGATGTGTGTGTGTGAATTATTAGATATCCCTGATGCTGGGCTATAACGGGTTCTTCATACACATTACACAAGATGAAGAAGAAAGTGCCATTCGTCAATCAGTTTACTAACCACTGAATTGTTGGATATCTCTGACTCGGGAATGTGTCCGACACAGCCATATCCAGAAAGTTTTGCGCTGAAATCTTTGTCAATCTGTATGTTTGCAGTTGAAAATTCATTGTACATTGCCTGTAGATAAGAAATCCCACGAAAATAATTATAAGACATTGCCAAAAGAAGCAAATCTGATGTCCGAGTATAATAATAAGACGAACAAGACAAGTTGTGTCACCTGGAAAGGACCTTCTTCGTGCAAGAAAGTCAGACCTTGGGCAGCACATAATGCAATCTTCATTCTTGAATTCCAGTCAATGAGAGGTCCATCAGACCTCGAATGTAGAAGTCTGTCCAAGCTTCCATGAAAAAGCCTTTCATACACCAACATCCTCTGCTCCGAGCCATCACGTGCATGGAAGCCAAGTAATTTACAAAGGTTAGGATGTTGTAAAGAGGCCAGCGTGTTGACTTCATTGACAAATTCCCTTAATCCCTGGGTAAGCATAGCCACTCATTGTTAGGCCAGATTTCAACTACAAGGCAGTTTTTAATGCTTGCAGAGGTTAAATCAAACATTTCAATAGCTCATTCTTTTCACACAAGTGATAAAGTTAAACTGAGCCTGTGCATTTTGAACCTAGAGTCTCAGTTCATGTTCAAGATGTCAACTTATATGAAAGAACTTCTGGAGCATAAATGTATTCGAATGTTCCCTAGTAGAGGACAAAACATGATATAAGTTATCCGTAAAAGAAAAAGATGAATTTACCCGCAAAATGGTAACTAATAAAAACAATATTAGCTGCTCATTCACCAAAAAGTTTTGAAGTCTTCGGGTTGAAAAAGCAGACATTACAAAAAAATTAAAACCAGAGAAAGAACAAACTTCCAGTACTTGAAAACCTTGCATCCAATTTGAACAAACTTTTCTGCAAATAGTTTGTCTACCATCCAATGTAAAGAGTAACTCAATTGAAAATATCCACTTCATCCAAATAAAGTAGCTAATTGTAATACCTGATTTGATGAATGAAGACGTGTAACAGTAGCCTCGAATTTTCTTAAGCTAGAAGAATCATCTCCGAAGGAAGCCTTATATATAAAAGATGAGAGACCTTCTGATGTGCAACGATCAGAAGAAAAATTATGACAAGCAGCTGATACTTCTTCAAATGTGAAGTTCCGGAGTGCTCCAGTTGGAGGTAGTGGCAAGGGTCCTGACAAATATAAAGGTCCACTGGAAGTCACTGATTTAAAGCTGCCAGAAATCTTCAGAGAAGCAGTAGCCTGAGGTGAAGGAAGGGGAAGCGGTCGGGGTCCAGAAGACTTTTGTTCCTTATTCAATCCAGCATAAATTTTCGTTTCATCCTGTTCTTCATAATCAATTACTGCAAGAGCATCCTGTTCGGCAGCATCAAGAGATGAGGGAGCAGATAATGCCCTTGCTCTATTGCTGGATACTCTACTGGCCGGTTGAATAGGTTTTACTCTGGTCCTAAAACTTGGTGGTGCAGACTGCAACAATCGAGTTTGAAGTTGAGGCTCTGGGAGCATAGTTGGCAAGTGCTCCTCCTCCTTAGGATTAATGGATTTGGCGTACACAGGCTGATCGGGCCGTTTCTTTTTACTCTTCCAAGCAGTGAAACACCGCATCTTTTTTTTAAAGCCTCTAGAGAAATGGTAGGCTTTTTGTATCAATCTGCAGAAGGAAAAGCCAAATGCAATTGTTAAAACCTGAAGTAGGTGACATCTTCAGAAGACTAATCCAGCAGTGAGGAACTAATATTGCCGAAAATCTCAAATTGCTAAACATTTGCAAGCATTTCAATACAGTGGAACTCTAATGCACATGACAGAACATGCACATTTTGCGTCTCTTCTATGGCAATATCCACGGTTGAAATGATCTACGAATCTATTACAATGATCAAGGAAGTGGATGGAAAGAACATACAAAATTCTTTGATTAACTGCACATCCATCAAAAAACATAATCGTTCAATTCCCTTTTAATGTTAGAAAAAAAAAAACTGCAGGAACCTATGCCACTCTCAGAAGACGGAAAGAAATCAGTAAATTGACTTCCCTTTCCCTTCCCTCTCGTCCCAGAAAGCAACTCAGATCCACACGACTGTTTACTTTAAAGAAAACTGTTGTAACCACAATCTATAAGAAACTCGAAGGAGACAAATTTGGTGTATAGATAAGTAAATTAAAGGGGGATATAAATTGACATGGTTGCAAATTATCAAGTGATGAAGTTCCCCATACTAAGAAAAGACATTAAAAACAAGGAGCAGGCAGGAAGCAGAGAAAATTAAGATACAAGGAAATATGGAGAAATAGAACCCTACGACTACGATACCATAAATCGTGAATTGAAGAGAGCATATACATAGAGGCAGAGGTGGAAAGAATTGTGCAGAAAAAAGAAGAAGAAGAAGAAGAACAAACCTGGAAATGATTGAGTCATGCAATTGGGAGTGAGAAGTGAAATTGGGAGAAGGTGAGAAAAAAGTGAGATAGATCCTTGAGATGGAAAAACCAGAAAAAGACGATAGCAAATATGAATCACAGAGCGCTGGAGCCCAATGAGCAGTAGTCAAACCTACCCAACCCCGACCCCAGACTTAATTCACATCCACACTCCCATTTTTTGTTATTTATTACATTAATTCTTCTAAATAATAAAAAATTAACTTGCCTGCTCTTTGACATTATTACCCTCCCCTCCATCTTCTTCAGTCTTCACATTCACACTCCTTTCTTTTCCTTTCCTTGTTTGGGGAAAGGAGAAAATTGGAACTTGGAAGCCGGTACGATTACCGTGAAGTAATAGTAATACTAGTATTTGCCATTTGCCAAAATTTGATGATAGAGGTTTAGTTTTAGGTTTGGGTTTAGTCAAGGAAATGAAAATTAGGAAAAGGAAAAGGAAAGGGGGGGCAATTGGGTAATTAGATATTAAAAAAAGAACAAAATTCTGCCATTTCAACGAGGTACGCCTCGATTGAGGTGACAGCCCAGTCAAAGTTGGAAAATCGTCTAATATTTGAAACTTATAATGATAATAATAAACGATAATTATTTAAAGAAAAAAAAGAGTTTTCAAAGAGACCTGTGGAGATAGGTGTTTGACTAAAAATCTGGGCCGCTGGATGAGAGAGTGTGGGGAAGTATGAACGGCCACGTTAAGAGGGATGGCGGGACCCACTGACGTCTGTTCTGAGTCTGAATGAATAAAATAAAAGAAAAATAAAATTGGAAACTGGAATCACGCGCCGGTTTGGCATGATGGCAGGGGAGAGGGCGGGAATGTGGGTCCCACCCCGTGATATTCCTCGCTTTGACGCTTCCTTCCCCCTTCTCTTCCTTTCTAGATTACAGTTTTTTTTTTTTGAGAAAAGATTAGATTAAATTTATTTATATATTTCTTTTTTCTCAAATAATGACAGTAAATATTCTTCTAATTTATTTCAGCTCCAACCCGCAACCATGAGGTCTTTTTTTTTTCTTTTTCTGAATACATTAAAGAGGGAGAGATATTCAAATTTACAACTTTTTGATCATAAGTATATACTAATTATGGTTTAATTAAGATCATATTGTCAACGACCATGAAAACTCCCGTTTGGTACTGAGAATTAATTTTTTAATCTAAAGAAACAAAGTTGAGTTGAGAATCCCCTCTTACATGTGTACCTCACCATCCATCTCAAATAATTATTGACAGAACACAAAAAAAGTGACATTTATTATATATCAATTTGCACCCGAATCTTCGCAATTGTTTGTCTTGAAAGGAAACCAACTTAAAAAATCCATTTAAACATTTGGCTGATTGTGTGAGCTATATCGGTGGAGTGAAGTAATTATAGAAGATAATTCAACTGAAAATATGATACACATCGATTTGAGTATGTAGTTTACCATTGAAACTCGATATTTCTACTCTCAAATCTTAACTTAATTGTGTAACAACTCAAATGATCTAACCTTAAAAGAGCATTTGTCATACAGGAATCGAGACACGGAGGATTGAAGAGATTCTCGAACCAATTTTATGGAAGTATGAATGAGAATAAACTATTGTCTGACATCTTTTATATTCATAGGAGGTGGCTATGAGTTTCTTCATTCCTCCTCCATTTAACCCTCTTCCTATATCATTATTTTTCCTTTTTGGAGTAGTCTTCTTTTTATATCTTATTGTCTTTTGAATATATTTATTTATATTACTTAATTTAAATTAGTTAGTGTGTTAAAATTAATCTTACAACTAATGATATTACATCATAGTTGATTTTAGTAATAATTAATAAATTAATAATGATTGATTGAGTGATGTATATTATGTTCCAAATTAATTTTTTAATTTAAATTGATGTAATAAAAATATTGATTTTTCAATCATTATAATTAATTATTCAATTAAAATGATTTACTAATTACAGAAAAACAAAATGAGGAAAATGTTTTTCTTTCTCAAGACAATAAAAAAATGAGGAAAAAAACCAAAATAAATAAATAGCGAACCGAGCTTCTCAGTTGATGTACAAAGAAGAAGTAAGGATTGGAATGAGAAACTAGCAGAGGTGCCCTAAATAAAAATGTTGTAGAAATGTATGAGTTTGTAGCAGTAAGACAGGAAGCAGAGCAATTAGGCAAAGGAACTTACGTTTGTGGATCCATAAAACACCACCCAATCCAACGCCAAAAGCAGCCACACACCTTAATTCCTGCACATCAATCAACAATCTGTAAATTCCTAATTCATCCCACTCCTCCTTATGTACTAATTAATTAAATTCACAATTCCTAATTCGTACCAAGCGGCCCAAACGCCAACATCCATTTCCACTTTCAATTTCGGCAACTAGGAATGGCATTTGAAGCCAACGCTGTTTTTGGATCGGCGGCGCCCGAAATGTTTCTTCACGAAGCTGAGGATCCGGGATTTCACACTCCTTCTTTGTTGGAGCAGGATCCGAGATCCGGATTCTGAATCCACTCTGAAGACCAATTTATCCAGCCTAAGGAGGCGTTGGAATTCCCCCGAAGGACGTTTTACGGTCGCCTTGAACTTGATATACAACTTACTGATCTTGGCACGAATCGTGATTTTCCATGCCCGCCCCTGAATTTCCGGCATTCTAACAACAGTGGTGGAAATTGGAATCAGAATGAATGAATGACTGGAATTTGGAATTGGAATTGGAATTGGAATTGGAATGGGATACTGACCTATCACAACGTGGGCCGGCCCAACGATTTCTTAATGGGCTGCACTGCCTCATCAAAATTGTCAACAGCTCAACCTAAATGGGCCCATACACTCATCCGCCTCGATGTGTCCAGATGACATGCGTCACGCAAGACTCTACTTGGTTAGATTTTTTTTGGGGTCCTAAATATAAAGAATAAAGATTTGTATGTTTGGATTGGACCAAAGATATTTCCAGATATTTAAAAGTGTAATATCCATGGATCTTTGTTTTCTCAAGAATCTAAGCTAGCTAGTTATTGTCGGCATATCATTGAAAACAAAAACTAAAAGAAAAGGCAGCATAATCCTTCCGATGTTTGTTGTGGACGGACTATAACAACTATAACTAGAATTATACGTACACAAAATTTGAACAACACAGAACCCAGAAGGCTCATCCACATGACACACTTACAAAAGGCTAAATTGTACTAAAAATTAGGATATCTGTGTCTGACTGCCACTCTGTAGGAGCAGAACGACATGGGCTTGGGTTGATGCAGAAGCCGGCGGGGGCTGCGAAACGGCGGCGATTTCTTTGACTTTAAGCGGCGGGTGCAGTAGGGAATGGCGACAGTTGGGGCAGGAGGAGTGGGACAGCAGCCAGGTGTCAATGCATCTGACGTGGAATCCATGGTTGCAAACGGGCAGCATTCTGAGCTTGTCGCCCGGTTGGAATTCCCCGAGGCAAATTGCGCAATCCGTGCCCTTAATATTGACCATATTGCCACCGTCACCGCCTCCGATTCCGTAAACCCCCACCGGAATTTGACCCAAATCTCGCTTCTTGAGGCCGGTGGCCGCTGCGGCCCCCTCCGGACTCTGGCTACATCTCAAAACGCAGCGTACAATAGAGTTCATTCCGAGCGCTCCAATTAGCGCACATGATAAAGCCGCAAGTATTACCACCATGTTGGCATCCAAATTCATCTCTCCAACATAAGCTGAATCACCCGTACGGTTCGCCTCCGATGGGGTGTTCCCTAGCTCTGTCGCCAGAAGCCGGCGTGCCAAATTTTGTTCCATAACTAATTTCACACCACTATCAATGGAAATTCAAATTTCCGTTGGGTTTTTAATTTGTTTGTGGATTGGGATTGGGACTGAAGGGGTAGGTATAAGAAGTAATAATGGTTGCTCTTTGGATATGGGTGTGAGAATGAAGTAATATTATTTAATCACAAATGGCCCTCTTTGGTATGGAACCGAAATCCGCAAAGTACTCAGTAGAGTTACCGGAGTGCTCGCCGTCGCCGGTGAAGCAGTCTAATTTATACTTATAGCGAGTGGTTGTGGCCAACTGGAGGGGAGAGTGGAGACGTATCTAATGATGGCTTAGATATTTTATTTTTAAACTAACAAAATCAGCTGCAGTTCACAGTCACAGCTGTATGTAAAATCTAGGATTAGGATTGTGTGGGGGCTAAAGAATTTGGATATTGGGTTTTGTGGAACTTAGTGATGGCAGAACCTGATTGGGTCGTCACATGTAGTTAAGGTAAAGGATAAGAGACACAAATATCGCCAACCAAAATATCTAACTTGGAAACTTTTTTTCTTTTTCTTTTTTTGCCTTTTTAAGATTCTGCGATAGAAGATGTTGGTATGGTGTTGTGCGGCAAATACAATACAATCTGAGATGCGGTTTAAATAAATAGATAAAACGGCAAAGCTGTCCCTGACGACTAACTGGGTTAATTTATGGAAATATTAAAAAAAATATATCAGAAACAATCAAATGTGAACGGAAGCAGAAGTTGGTATATATTAAAAATGTTGCCGTGTAATCTGACCTAACCATACACTTGATTCCGTCATCGTCACCAGCGGTCACTCAGTTTATTAGAGCCAAGCCCAATAGGTTTAGCTTTCTTCCGGATTCTAGTTGGTTAAACGAGTTTGTGTGGTTATTCATTTATCCAGGAAAACATGTGTATTATTGGTTCAGCTACATCTTATTTATTTCTTGATCCTACATGCATCTTAATTAGTATTTGTTATATTTAAAAAAATATATTAAATTCATTATAACAGTATTGCCAACTCAACTCACTTCAGCTGTACATTGAAAATTGACGTGTTTGATTGAAGAAGTTCATCATTAATTAAAGAAATTACTTCAGATTTTAATGGCAATTTGACTTTTGATTATGTCCTTGTAAACTTAATTCGATGAGTTTTTCGTGAGATATATGTACATAATAAGTGGCAACTGTGATTGTTTGATGCCATTTGCAGAACAATCAAATTTGGCAAAGTGTACTGCAAATGTAACTAAATAAATATAGATATATCGCTGCCAGTGCCACGTATCGATCACTTTATTAGGACGTCCCGTCTACCATCCCCCTCCCTGTATGCAATAAAGAAACGCTTTTTCATGTGCCGGCTGCTCTTAAAAAGGAAAAAAAAACATTATTTTGGTGTATTTGGTTTTAAATATTATTGAAATCAGGTCTGGTCATTTTTTATGGTTAAATATATGTATTAATTCTTAATATTGGGGTGTTTTCTTAATTTAATTTATAATGTTTTACAAGTTTCAATATTTTTCAATGTTAATCCAATATACCAATTTGGGTAATTATTCATAAATCTCATCACATTTTTTAATTAATTGGAGGAACAAAAAAAAAATCCATTTTATTTGCAAAGTAATAAAAAAGAAGTATGTTTTTTTGTGTCGTGTTTTGAAGTTGAAGTGAAAGATACAGGTAGGGTACTGCATGAACATGAAGCGAGCAAAAATAACAGGAATTATATGATAAACATGAATATTATGTAATATGATATGATATTGAGTAGACACAGTAGTAGACCAGAGCAAAGTACAGTCTGTAGTCTGTATTGAACCACATGACAGAACAATAAACGAAATTAGTTTTTCAACTATACAATTCATACTATCAGGCTCATTGCGGGCACTTGGTTCACATCCTCGTCACCATTGTCATTGCAGTTTGAAATGATGTGATTTGTTGAGTTTGTTAAAAATACGAACAAAATTATATAAGGGACAATATTTCAATTAGTATGAGATTTTTTTTTCTAATGAAACTAAAAATAAAGTCGTGCTAACTTAGACTTCCTACAAATCTATCTCCATACTTTTTAAAGAATAACATATATACTTAGTTCAATTGTTTCCCATTTTTATGGTGGTTAGTAAAAAGAAAAGGCATGCAATGACCAGAGAGAACAAAGCAAAGAGGAAGAGGAAAGAGGAAATCTCAAATACATTAAGACACGTACGAAAATTAAAAAGTGGAGGACACCGGACTGGTCTGCATGGACCGAACCAACTGGGAAAGTAAAGTAACATCAACCAGCAAAAGGATGGGATCCTGTCCTGGGAATGGGATCACCATATAAGCATAGCAAAAGCACCCATGCTTTTTTTTTTTTTGTGTTTATTTATTAATAATGGTAGATATATAATATTATATTATTGAGTACTGGTGGCGGTACTCAGCGAACTTGGGCGCAGTCGGTGCTGGGGCTGATCTTGTATGGAATGTTGACGCCACAATGAGAGGGGAGGCCAGCGGCGAGGCCCAAGTTCAGTCCAGGGATGGCGGCAGCGGCAGTCTTCAAGCATTTGCAAGCGGCCTGACGGTCGGCCGTGGTAGAAGCTTGGCTGTTGAGGGCCTTAACCCCGCTGCAGCAACCCGCCCCAATAGGCCCTTGGTTCCTCAAGTATGGGATGCACGGCGCCATTGCGCTGCTCACGGCGCCGCACGAAATAACCGCATCAGCCACCGGAGACCCCACCACCAACAACACCATCGCCATCGCCACAATCATCATCTTCCTGCTCATCTCCATTATATCTAAATCCTCTCTTCTCAAAATCTTCTCTTAAGTTATGGAACTGGATGTGGATGCAATGTGGGTTCTGCTCTTTATATAGCCACTCCACTCCTCAGTCCTCCGGATCCGGCTCGGCCCGGCCCTCACATTTCATTAAATTACACGCGGACCCACACCATCACCATGGGGTTGTTGGTAGTTGAGTCCGGCCCCATTTTCCATTACTCTCATATGCTCTACTCTACTCTACTTCATTGGATTTACCGATTCAAAATCTCAACCGCACCCAAAACTCAAACTCATTTTCTACTTTCACCGCATTCATTCACCTTAAGGCTTAACCTTTCTCCATTTTAATTAACCTCTCCTATCATTTCATCCCACCCTTTACCAATTTTTAAATTTTATTATCCTTCATTCTCTCATTTAGTTTTATTGCAAATTCTACATCTACATTTTCATTGATCCTACTGAATTTCAATTAAACACACGTATTGATAATAGCAGTGGGAAATAATTGATGATGCGAGGGAGGGAGTGCCACTTGTACTTCGTAGCTGATGGGCCTCGCAGACGTCCAATAAATGCATATGAATCTGGAGTAAATGTACGATACGAATGGCCTGGCCGAGGCCGACGCCCAAGATAGTCAAAAAACATGGCCTACCAATCTGACCACACCACGTGTCACTTGTTTTCTGAAGGCCAATTAATGAGTTTCTGCCAACAAAATTTAAAACAGAAGAGAAGTCCAACTAACAGATTGGGTATCTTGGTATTATCGGCACCGTCGCGGGCAAATTTAATTGGACGGTTTATTTGGACTTCCAAGGCAGGTAGGTTTCCGGAGGAGGAAAACTTTGTACAAAACTAGATTAACATATACAATACATGTGGAAATTTTTTCACCATTTTTGCTCTTCAGTTCAACAACGTGAATTTAAATGCATAAAAACGTCTGTTACCTTCTTCAATTCCACGCCGCTGGATTTTGTACTAAGATAAAAATTATACCTCTAATTATTTTATTACAGATTACTTCTTATGTTCTTAACATTAATTATTTTTTAATCTTCATTACATTTTTTAACTACTTGGAAAAAAAAAATTGTTGTAAAGTTTCGTGAAGCTTACCTATGCTGTACAAGAAATGTTGAAAGAAAAAAAAGAAAAATGTGTTTGGTGTTGTGTTTTTAAAGAATCTACTGATTAAAAATAAAATCATAGGAGGTGTAACTGTATTTTTTGGTCCATTATTCTTATAATGTTTGTGTTTTGTTTTATTTGATTTAAGCTATTGATTAAAGGGAAAAATATCTTGTGAAATACTAATTATCTGTTCTGTAATCTCTTACTTTAGGTTCTACGTTGTCGGAACAATTTGAAGCCGATAAGAATCCAACATTGATAAGATAAGGGAACTACCAATAGTTTATAATATATGTGGATACTCCTTGTGTTGCTAACTAACTAGATTTGAAGTAAAAGTTACTGAGTAGGCTGTAGCTATTGGGATGTTGGATTGGTTTGTTTATATAACCGTAATAGATACGCCACTTTCCCCCTACCTCATATTGTCGTTTGCATAGAGCTCTCGCCTTCGCCAAAATTAAGTTTAAACTTTTCTCCAATCCAGGTTCACTTATCGTTGCAAAAACAAAACAACTTGGTAATTGTAAAATTTAATGTACTTGTCTTGTCATTATTGTTGAGTAAATATATTATATACGAACACGTTCCAATAAACACTGACCTAATTATTACAATCCACTCTTCACAAATTACTACCAAACTACAACAATCGTCTCAACATGATACTACGACTAGTCCCGATAAAACAACCACCTCAAACTACTACAAAATTTTTGACACTTACTCTCAATATAAATAAGAATAACAACAAAATTAAATAATAGAGAATTGTTGTGAGAGGAAGAGAAACTCAAATATAGAGATATTGAATATCTTAAATGAGAAAAAAAAAACTATATAGAATTTCACGCATAGGCAACTCATCATAAAAGAATTATGTAACCTCAACAATGCAGGTATAGAAATAATTCTTCATCTAAAATATAACTTTAATTTTAACACAATAAAGAAACAAAACGACTAAAGAAATAAATAAATAATTGATAAATAAAATAAAATAACATTCACTAAATTTGTCAGTTGCAAAAAATAAATAGTTAAAAAGTCAACGTGAACTTAATTAGCTTGACACCTCTATTTGATGAAGAGATTATGAGTTGAATTCTCTACCATCCTTGTATACTAAAAAAAAACTTAATGTTTAGGAATTAAATTCATAAATAGTCCGACTGATTGTGAATATTTCAAATTCTAACCATTACTTTTTTTGTTACATTTTTACAAGAAAGTTCAAGAGTCATCTCACATCTATCTCCATACTTTTTATTTCTTTCTCAATTGTAACGTGTCCGTCAACTTCTCTCAATCTTCAATCTTCAACAGTGTAATTGTAGTTGGCACACCATTAACTCCAAATAAAATTCTCTTATCATACAATCTTTCGCGGGAGAAGGGGGCAAAGAGAGTGAAAAAAACCACCACAGCAAAAACATAAATTAATTTGATATATTTCTACTTGGTCACATGTTAATTGGCACATCAGCTTCCGTTGTATTAGAAGAAATGGGACTAAAAATATACGGCAAAAGTTATTAGGGCCTATTTGACAGCGTTCCCATTTATTGTTTATCATTTCTAATTTTTTGAAGAAATCTAAATATTAGTTTTGTTTCTCTTTTTTGAAACATTCTCATAATTACAAATTTTGGGAACAATCAAAAGAAGTTTCTCTTTTTTTCTTCCAATTTTAAATTTGTTTCAAAATATAAATAAAAATATTATTTTATCATATTTAAATTCTCAAAGGGTGAAACCATGTAACTCATTTTTAAACAGAAACGATAAATGAAAATTTTACCAAACAGAGTTCTAAATAAGCCATTCCCAAGTTGTCGGTTCCCATCCACTCGAACTACATGGGACCATGCTATAATATAGTAGAGATCAGATTTGACAAAAAATTAGTTCTTCCCAAAATTTTGATGGAAAAATGGAGTGAAATTAATAAAAACAAACTCTGAGTGTAGATTTATCTGAGACGTGCCAATATTCCACCCGGTGAAATGTGAAACAATTTTGGCGTATTTAATTTTTTGGTGTTGGTTAAGTAGTTACTAGTTAGCAGTAGCAGAGAACGAAGATCCAAAGATCCTGCAGGCACGGTTAAAATGAATAATTACAGCGGAGCCAATAGATATATGCATTTGGGAAGCCGGTAGGGTAAATATATTTTGAATTTTGGCTGCTGTGTACTTGGATCTGGATGCCGGATGGGAAGTAGGTACAAAAAGGAAAAAGAAAAGTTGAATTTGAAGAGATGAAGTTAGTAAAGAGAAAAGAGAAGAAATTTTAATTAATACATATAAGTAAAAAGTGGACAGTGCAAGTGCATAGTGCATAGACTGAAGTAACTGGGAAAGTAAGATGAAAGACAACTGATGAGGGATCCTTTTCCCTGGAAATGGGAATTGGATGACCAAAGGCAAAAGGCAGCGGTGCTTCTGTGTTTTATTTATTGTGGTATAACATAGAGTACGTAGTTGTGGTGCGTGAGGAGGAGGTAGGGTGATCAGTGAACTTTGGAGCAGTCGGTACTGGGGCTGATCTTGTAGGGAACGCTGACGCCGCATTTACCGGGGAGGCCGGCGGCGCGGCCCAAGTCGATTCCTTGGATGGCGCCAGCCGCACTCTTCAAGCACTGGCAGACGGCCTGACGGTCGGCCGTGGTAGAAGCCTGGCTGTTGAGGTTCTTAACCCCGCTGCAGCACGCTGGCGAAAGAACCCCTCCTGGTCTCAAGTATGAGATGCACGGCGCCACTGCGCCGTTCACCGAGCCGCACGAAATAGCCGCACCGCCCACCACCATCCACATCATTACCATACCCGCCACAATCATCATCTTCCTGCTCATCTCCATTCTTCTATTTCTACCCAATTCTCACTATCACAATCTTCGATTTTCAATTTTTTATGATCTCAATGCAATCCGGTTCTGCTCTTTATATACCCATAAACCGCCCCTACCATCGTCATCGGGTTGCTGGTAGTTGCGTCCGGCCCCATTTTTACATTACTACTAATCAATTTTAAATTTAATATTTGTTTCTCTCCATTCTCACCTTCATCTTTCTACTTTCTACCTGCCAGCCCTCCATCCTCTCCTATCATTTCATCCCATCCTTTACCAATTTTTAAATTAATTTCTTTTTATATTATTTTACAAATCGTTTCCAGTTCCACTAGTGAAGCCTACCACGGCCAAGCTGAAACATTCTAGTTTTTTCTCCTCTATCCTTTTTTTTTTTTAAATTTAAACAATTAGAAAGAATATACAATTAATTGGACGGCTACGTTTGATTTGGCGCCCTACTCTATTGATAATACTATTTGTGGCATTTGTAGATGGGCTTCCGCCTCTGACGTCCAATAAATGCATATGAATTGTTGCAATTAAATGAAATTGAACGCATGGCCTGGCCGACGGGCTAGCGCCAAGCCCATGATAAGACATTGGCCTACCAATCTGACCCAACCACGTGTCACTTGTTTTCTGCAGGCCAATTAATGAGTTTCTGCCAAAAAGTAACTATAAAAAAGAGAAGAAAACGTGGAACCTAAAGATTGGGTATCTGTATCAATCGCCAGTTCCCTCGACTACAATTGGAGCATGGGCTACCAACGAGGTAGGTCTCCGGAGTAGGAAAAGACGGTTGTATAAAATTGGTAATACTCGGACCTCCGTCAACAATTCATCAACATAGTCAGGTTTAGATCATGGTATCTCGACTCTCACGATTTTATTTTTAGTTTCACCTAAAATGCCTCGTACTAATGAAGACAGTTGTCCTCTCTAATATATCCATGATCATTCCCTTTTCTAATTAATGTGGGACTTTGTTTGCAATCACCTTACAAATACAACACCCTTTGTTCAAGAGCCATTGAGAATTGTTTTTTTAAATTACTTCCTAAAATGTAAAAACGAGTAGCTAAACATGAAGAAGGTAACGGCAATGAAGGGTAACTTTGGGCGCGGCTTGGAGTTCGGGTGTTTAATGCGATGGCCCGAATGTCAACAACCAAATATTGGCTCTCCACATTCCCGATGCACTACAATCACTAGCTGCAGCTGCCACGTTATTGCGAATAACAGTGAACTTCACCAATTTTCTTCGATTCATAATTAATTGGCATTAAATGGAGTAGGTAATAGGTATGAGGAATTCCTGCTCTCCACTCTCTCCAATGGGACCACTCCACAGACACTCCTAACGAGGGAAACATTATACTCGGATAACTATATTCTTTCCATTCATACTGTAATTTTACTTTTATAAATAATTTTAATAGTAGTAAATTTCACATTATTATTATTATAAGTAGTAAATAAATAAATAAATAATTTATCAGTCCATCCATCTACGGACACAAAAATTACATCTACATATGGATGGTATTTTCAGGTTCACTCCAAATAAATTTGAAGTAGAAGGAAAAGAAAAAAGAAAAAAGAGTACCCATGAAAATAATAACATTATTATTTTCCTTATCCAAATAATAATATGACCTGATTTTTGTAACGATGTAAATATAATTAAATTATACATAATTTTCAACTACTAAACTTGAGAATCTAAGCTAGGGTGTGCTAAGGTAACTTAGGTTTAGAAAAACTATGTTTCACATGTAAGTTTGGGTAAGTTTAAGTTTAAGAGACCTATATTAGGTTTAGAAAGTTTGTATCTGAAAAATATTTAATTGTATTAAGTCAATTTATGTATTTTAGATTTATTTAAATTGCTTGGTTTAGTTATTCACTTTTTTTAATCTTAATATGGTAAAGGTAAACTAGTTTTATAATTATTTAAATATAACTGGATTCAAATTTAAATATATACATATTTATTATATTTTTGTTGTTTTAATTCAAACGTGAGAGCGGACAGGTTGGAAGTTATCCGAATCATTAATGGGGAGGAAATGGACCAAGGAAGCCTAAAGAGCACTAAACTTAGAAGAAACAAAGTTTGCTCATGAGCTCGCAAGATTAGTGTGTTCTTCGAAGGTAAGCAAGGGAGAGTATCTCTGCTAGTTCAGTAACGTTTCTATTTCTTATTTTTCATTTTCATTTTTTTAAAAAAATTTAAGCATATGACAACTAATATTTGTTATTTCTGATTGTATACAAACATTCTTAAAATTCCATAGAAGTTTTAGAAACAACAAAAACAAATTTCTTGTCTTTTGGTTTCGTTTTTATTTTGTTTCTATATAGATAACAATATTGTTTATCATTTTTAAATCTATTGGTGTTTGAGTCATGCAATCCAATTTTTCTTTATAAAAATAAATTTGTAAAAAGAAATAGAGCATGAGGCTTTGAACATGAGAGATAGAACCGACAATTGACAGGTTTAGGGGGAGGGAGAGAAATGAGAGAGAGGGTTACGCTCGCAACGCATGGTTGAGAGGGAGGGAGAGATGGGAGAGGGGATGAGGCCACATATGGAGGGAGTGAGAGATGAATCTTAATTTCATTCATTATTGTTTTATTAAAAAAAATAAGAGTTCGTAATGTATAGCCTAAGAAAACAACTAATAGATCAAATAAATAACCACAACACCATCCTAACAAACATCATGGGATGACCCAGAGGTGCATAAGGACCAATATAAATAGCAAATGATTTAGAGGGAATGAGTTTAAATCATGAGGTAAGACGGCTCATTCGTGATTAGTCGAAGTGTGCACCGTTTTGACCCCTTATAAATGTAAGTAAGCCAAAAAGACTGGCAAGTACCTCTATCCCTCCCCAAGAATACAAATAATATTGTCTGAGAGAGGCGAAAAGGAAAGGGACGTGGTTGGTATTGGACTCTAGGGTATGTTGGAACCCATAAGGAAACCAGTTTGTGTGGTGTAGCAAGCTCAAGAGGAGTGGGCTGACGCTGAGCCCCACGTACCGACTGAAAAATAAATAGGGCCTAATTCCAGATGGTCCATCAAATAGGGCCTTTTCGACTTCACCTGAACCCTTAGGCTAATGAATGAATTTTAACGTGGCTGCATCCAGCCTTCTTACAAACTCCATAATCAATCATCCCATTTCTCAGTCGCTCCACATCATCCCACCGCTCTTCCTCAGCGTACATGTTTGACAACAAAACGTAATCCCCATCCTTCCTTGCCTCCAACTCTCCAAGTTTGCGGAATGATTCCTCCGCCAACTCCACCTGCATGTGTAATCTACAACCACCCAACAAAGTCCTCCATAGAACACAGCATGAACTGAAAGGGCAAGTTTTTATCATCTCGTAGGCTTCTTCTAAAAACCCCCATCTACTGAGAAGGTCGATCATGCAACCATAGTGCTTCAAATCCGGCACTATCTTGTACTTGACAACCATGAGGCTGAAATAATGGCGTCCTTCTGCCACCAGACCCCTGTGACTACAAGCAATCAGAAGAGCAATGAAAGTTACTCGATTCGGTTTCACATCATCATCAAGCTCTGCTTCCATGGAATCAAACATCTCCAGAGCTCTCTCACAGTGACCGTGAACTGCCAGACCCATAATCATCGCGTTCCAGCAGCTTACAGGCTTCATCTCTATTTCATTGAATACTTCCAAAGCTAACATCAGCTCCCCACATTTAGCGTACATATCGACGATGGCGTTGCCTAAATACCCTTCAATTCTGTGGTGCTTCTCTTTCAACGACTCGTGGATCTTCTTTCCCGTCTCCAATGCACCCGTTTCGGCACAAGCGCCCAAAATGGAAATAAATGTTACTTCAGTTGCTCCAATGTCAGACTGTTTCATGGTATGGAACAGCTCCAGAGCTCTCTTGTAATCTTTCACCTTCACATAACCGGCAATAATAGAATTCCAAGATACAACGTCCCTCTCCGGCATTTCTTCGAACACCTTTCGCGCTGCGACAAGATTATTCAACCTAATATATCGTGCCAGTACGGTATTCCAAGAAATCACATTTTTCTGAGGCATCAATCCGAGAAGAACACCCGCCGATTTATAATCATGAACTCGATCGTAAGCCGACATCATAATGTTCCAGGAAACAGCACTTCTCACTGTAATTTCGTCGAAAACCAGACGAGCTAAAACCACCAAACCACACGCAGAATACATTAGAACCAATGAATTTTGGACGTGATGATCTTGATCAAGCCCCAATTTCGTGACTCGGGTATGAATTTCAGCACCCTTACGAGAAATAACTTCACGCCCGAAACATCGGTCGTCCTTTTCAGTGCATTTGATAGCTCTTGCACAAGCCTTGAGCACAAAATTGTAGGTGAAATGATCAGAATGAACATCCATACGTTGCATATGGTTGTAAATAAGCAAAGATTTAACGGGAAAAACACTGGTGGAGTAGGCTCGAATCATCGTGTTACAAATGAAAGAATCGTCCATGGAAGTTTCTTGGAACAAAGCGTGAGCATGAAGGAGGCTTCCTGATGGAGAAAGAGAGGAGAATGCAATTAGCTTTGCCATTATAGGAATGTGATTGCAGAGACCTGCTTTGACGATAAAAGCATGGGCCTGTTCCAGTTCTTCCATGGAAGAGAGACGATGGAGCTTGGAAATTATGCAAGTAATTACACCTTTCAGGAGCATATTCCATCTTCCCGAAGAACTGCGAACGGAAGCATCGTCGGAGTAGAAGCTGAAGTCAAGTAGCAACGCAATGAACCATCGAAGAAAACGCACCGTTTAAGGAATACGACCTTTCGCAAAGGACCCCGAACTGAAGGAAGTTTGAAACGTCGTCCACTTATCAGAATATGGGCCTTTTTGTTTTTTTAAATACACATAAATTGTTGGAAGGAATAGATGTTTCTGTCTCCCCATTTCAATATCTCAAATATCAACCTCTACACCCTGAAATAAACTTTTCCAGACCGACAACACATGAAAAATTACACATCCAACATTTGATAAACTTAACTGTAATTGATATACATCTTAGATCGAAAGATCGAAAGGTCATGAGTTCGAATCCTCTTGCCCCAATTGTTGTATAAAAAACAAAAAATAAAATAAAATAAAAAAGTATGTTCTATATTTTGGTTTATGTATGATGTCTTGTTCAGTGTCCACAGCCCGCCAGGGAAATGTTACACTTACAGCTCCAGGCTCCATCTCCAAAATGATCTGGGCCAATAGATTTCATGAAGAAAAGCCTCTCTGAGATAATGTTAATATGAGAGTAAAATGTCACAAGTATATGTACCTCCCTTTACAACCCAAATCAACTAAACAATTCTGATAGTTCTCTATATCTCATTTATTGTTGGGTCAATGGGGGCCCCATTGACATTCTCTCTTTTCCAGATTTCATCCTATTCCTTATCACCATCTCTCAGTCCTAGAATCCGGGTAGATCAAAATGCTACCACAGGCATGTGGAAAAGAGAACAAGCTATTCAAAAATTTAACCCCTTATTGCGAGTTCTTAGCCCTCTTAGCAGCAAACAGTTGGCGAAGGAACCCAAACTTTCCTCTAGCACGAGCAGAGAACTCGGTAATAGCACCATTGCTGGTTGTTGCTGTATCTGTTGTGTCGGATGCTGGTGAAGATGGTGAAGGAGGTGGGAGTGTAAATAGATATGCATTAAGCATGCGGATGATCTGGCTGAAGCTGGGCCTCATGTTGGGATCTTCAACCCAACACGACTGTACGATAAATGCTAGATCGGCTGGTATGTCGCCTGGAATACTAGGTCTCTCTTGCTGCATTCTCAGACCATAGCATCAAATGGTTAGATATTTCGGCATAATATGACATTAAGAAAATTATGTGGCACAAATAACAAGGTTGTTTTAATGATGGGAGTAAAATTATTTACAGCATCTCAGCCATGCATGTGATCATAGAGATGGTTTGATCTGAACGATCAGGAGTCTGTGCCTTTAATCTTGCATTATATGCCATAATGAACACAAGAAAATTAAAAAGGAAAGAAATGCAACTTTTGGCACCTTGAAAGCAGCAGCATATGCAGCTTGCAAATTGGACATCCCTTCAAATGGCATTCGGTTGGTCAAGAGTTCCCATAAGACAATTCCGAAGCTGTATACATCAACCTTGTTGTTGTAATGCTTCTTCTCTCCCTGGCGCAATGTCACGGTGCTATACAACTGCAAAGGCACACAAGATAGCCAATAAAGTTTCCCTCTCCCAGAACGTAACTGTGTAAGATAAGCTGCATGCACAAACTAATCAATAATAAAGTAATCCTCCAGAAAACATTTCAACAATTCATTATACTTCACGTCAAAGATCATGCCAAAATATTTGAAATAATCAGAAGGTACAATGGAGCTGACTTCTAGAATGCTACCAGCTTCATGAAAAGTAACAAATCTCTGAGATGCCTATAATCTGAACTTGAACTTTGATGTATCTTTTAGCATTACTACAAATACACTAGTTAACAGTGCAGCAAAAAGTGGCACGTTTTACTTATTATAGACAAATTGGCATGTTTATAAATTACTTTTTGAAAATGAAAGGGGAAATTTGGTCGTGCACTCGGCTTCATTAACAAAGGTGTTAAAGAAAAACACACCTCAGGAGCCATCCAGCGATAAGTCCCTGTTTCGGCAGTCATCATCTCAGTCACAGATTCTTCTCTAGCAAGTCCAAAGTCTGCAAGCTTTACTGACCTCTGATTTGCCGTAAGCAACAAATTGTCTGCATTGCACGCCCTTCATTGATGTAAGTATCATGACATGTATGCGAAACCAGTATAACCTATTTACTCCAATTTGGAAGAGATGCATAATATAACTAATTACATGCAAAGAGCCCAGTAAAACAACACAGAATTGAAGCATGCATGCAAATCCCCATTTGAATTTGGAAAAATCGATAAATTACGTCCAGCTAAATTAAAAAGCACAGACCAAGCAGTAGCAGCCCAATAAATCTCGAGTAATGAAACATTAAATATATCAAGGCCCCAGAAAAAAGTACATATTTCTTAAAACTTACACTTCACATTCAGCATATCAATTAATATCAAATAGAAACCCATGTGCTTAAAAAAAATAGTATTAAAAGATGGTAATGGAGCAAGAAGATTGAGAAATCTTCAAATATCATCACTACACCACAGTTTGTTAATGTATAAAAAGAAGATTTAGCAAGTTAGGCCAAATCTACCAAGGCACTCGAGTGAATGAGAACAGAACCTTCGTGGATATGAAAGTTCTACATTGCATATTGATATAATTGATAATTCTACCACATGTTCTCTAACTAATAATAGCAAGTAGACAGTTACTGAGGATACCATACCAGGTTTCAGATCTCTATGTATGATCCCATTTGCATGTAGACAATCCATAGCACGAGCAATATCCAAAGCAAAGTTAATGGCCAACCGAGGGTCCAGCTGTTGCTTACGATTACTCATTAGGTACTTCCTGAGTGACATCCCTGGTAATAGTTCTGTAACTATCACCATTAGAGGATCTTTACAAGCTCCAATAAACTGCAAAGCAAATATCTTGCTATATTTGGTAAAACACAAATCATTGAATGTAAATACAGAAAGAAGTATAGAATCAGGGCTGAATATGTAATATTTAAATTTTAAAAGAAAAAGTTTCAAAATTGCTTCTACTTGATTGCCCCACCTTGACAAGATTTTCATGTTTTACTCGGGACATCATATTAACTTCACGAGCAAAACGATTCTCAAGTGCCGCTCTTTCTTCTAGAGTACTCCCTCGATGAAGAACTTTAATGGCCACAATTTGATCTCGATACCTAGAAAAATTACAAATGGACTTCACTCACTTACAAAGTCCAGTAACTTCTCACAAGTAAATTACTCTATCTGAGTGACTATTAAGTGTAGAATGTCGTGCAAGAATTTGAAGCACCAACAAAATATGAATAAAAATGAACTATCTTTGAACATCAATCTTTTACCCAAAAAAAAAAAAACGTTATAGTTCCATTGCATTTCTGATTAAGCTCTGGAACATTTTTGCTAAAGATACAAAGGTTAGAGGAAATAATAAATTGTCGACATAATGTGTTCAGTATTCATTGAGGCATAAACCATCCTTTTCAAAATCGTAGGTGGCACATACCACTTTGACGGTAGCTTCAGTGTCCCAAAAGTCGGAACCTCCAGTTACATAAACCATTATGTTTCAAACATTTCCTTAAGACAGTACTACGTGCAAATTTTAAGAGATTTTTCTACGGAATGGAGTTCAATGAAAGAATAGCAGATGCTCAGATTGGATACCTATGAAATTAAACTCATTTTGAGAACAAAATATCTACAAAAGCAAATTGCTTGTGCTACTTCGTTATTACTAAACTATCAGATTCTTCAAGCCAAGGCTGTAGAACAACAATGTTTACAGTACGGTAGCAAATAAAAAACAACAAAATTTCAGACAAATAAAATCACACTGACCTGCCTTCGTAAACCTTCCCATGAGCACCCTCGCCAATCTTCGATCCAATAAACAGTAATTTTGGGTCAACAAGAAGATTCTCATCGATCGTCAACTGTTGGGCCGTTATGGATCCATTTTGGATGACTGGTTTCTGTTCTGCCTCAATAGACTTCCTCAAAACTGGCTGCTCGATTTTCCTATCATCTCCCCCTCTATTCTTCTCGTTACAACTCATACTGCAACCTCAAATTATTCCCGAATTCCTCATACTGTTGTTGACTACAAAGCTATCCCAAAATTTACATTAACTTAACCCAATGAGTCTTTAATCATCACTCATTCACATTTCTCGGTTTCCAATCAGTAGAACACCTTTAAACCACCAAACTAAATCTCAACTGTAGTAACCATCGATACTCCGCAACGTATATGAACCATTCACAGCAGCAAATAGTTGTACAGCTGTTTTACAACTTTTCCATAAACGAAAAGAAAAACAGTCCTTTATAACAAATAAGTTATGCTCCCCACCGATCGATTTCGAATAAAACTTTTCCCCCTTTTTTCAAATCGAGAACATAGCTCCCCTATTCCGGACTCTCTTTCGTCCTGCAAAACTTCCGGAGAATCACTAGTTTCAAACTCTCCGAAGAGCCTTGCTTGATTTCAAAGCCTCCTCATCCGCCTAACCTAAGAAAAGAAACCCTAGCAAAATAAACAAACAAAATAACTTACAGTTGACGCCAAAATTTTCGAGGAAACTTTATCCGCGAGAAAGGAAAGCAACAACAAAAATCCATGGGGTCGTTATCTAAGTTGGAGTCTGAAGTTTGATTCTCATTTCCATAGTTGAACAAGCATCTATTCCCTTAAAAGACATGAAAAGGAGACGAAAACAAATAAAGTAAAGCTCTCTGTTTCTCTCACTATAAATGGCACTCTCTCTCTCTCTCTCTACCCACTGAGAAGAAAGCACTCCGCTGCGAGATAATTCCAAGCCTCTGTTCCGACGAGAACCTTGGATAATTTTAGAGTGAAAATTCAAAACCCAAAAGGAAAAAAAAAAGAAAAAGAAATAAGAGATTAAAAAATGTGTAACCAATAGTAGCTGCACACGTGGAGGGCAGAGATATAAGTCGCATGAGTGGTTTTGACGTTCTCGTTACAAGTTACAATTGCGTTAGGTGGAATTAATCGTATATGGACAAACCCATGCTACCATTCGCTTTCTATTAATATTATATATATATTTATTTTTTTTGCAATCTCTAGTCTGTACCTTCTCGTCTCGTGCCGCTCGTGTTCACAAATACCCTTTTCAAAATCTTCCTCTAAAACGGTGTTGCTCTACTTGCTTTAATTTTCATTTAATTTAATTTAAAGGTTTCTCTTTCCTATATTGTATGTTTATAAACATGATAGAAATATTTCAAATTTTCATCCTCTTTTTTTTTCCCTTTTTCTTGTCTCCATCTCTACTTTCTGAAAATTTTGGTCAATTGTGAAACTAGATTAAAAAAGAAAGTATTTATAACTAAGAACTCTGATGTATTAGATTTTTTTCCAATTGTAGATAACAAACATGCCATAAATCCCTTCCAAGACGTTTTGGCAATAAATTTTCACAAAGCTTGATGTTCATGCAATCACGTTCATGATTTAATTTATAAAAAAAAAACATATTACTACAATCAAAATACATTGAAATCTATATATACCCATTTAAAATTGAAATTAGCTCAATTGCAAAGAAATTGAGGTGATAGTGTTATTTTCTAAAATATTAATAGAAGTACAATTTTATGAAATAGCTTCTAAAATACGATTATCATTAAATTAACAATAATTGTTTCATTTTATATTAATTCAACAATTTTCAACTTATGTTCAATTGTTTTGTTAACTTTTAATTAATTATATTTATGCAAATTTTGAATCTTGTCGTATAACATTTGCGATTTTCAACACAACATTTTAACCCATTTAATTATGGCAACTCGACATTCTAAAACAGATTAAAAATAATAATAATAATGGGAGAGAGCATGTCTTAGCATTCTCCTTGCCAAACTCAACTTTTATATCAGAAGGCTATGACTGATGATTGCACATGCTCAAAGGAAAGTCAAAATAGAAATTCATGTTCTAGGGATATGTAGGAAGATTAAAGTTACTACCTGATTATTACACGATACTTACATTGACTTTACCTCTTTATTTTATTGAGCGATTAAGGAGTGAGCCTGGATGAACTAGAAGACTTCACCATCGCTTTATGGGTCATGTGGAATAAATGAAAACATATAGTCTTCAATAAAAACAAAAGTTTGATTGATCAGCCCATTGAACATGCGCTTAACTATCATGAAGCATGGAAAGTTAACTGCTACCCAATTATGCTTCCGGCACAACAAGCCATTGGACAATGGAGTATAATTCAAGGTGCAGAAAAGTAGGTGTCTCCAGATTTACCAAATTATAAGCTAAACTCAAATGCGGGGATACTTGATGGAAGAACTAGTTTTGGGAAAATCACTCCTGACACTACCTAATGAAGAAGTTTTGCTGGCTGCTAAAAGAGCTATGAATCCTAATTATAAGAGGTATGTTGAGCTTGTGGGAGCAATGACTCTAAATAAAAGGATGACTTTAGCAACTGAGGTTGGAATCCGACCTCTTTGAATAGAAATTGATTCCAAAATAGTGTGGAAACTTATTAATGGAGAAGATAGATTTGATAATGAAACTCAATTGATAATAGATTACCTAGGAAAAAAAATGCAGAAAGAGGGAGGTAGGAACCACTTTTCCAGGACACAAGAGGAACAAAGTTGCTAATACTTTGGTTCGTCCAATGAAACATTGACACTTAAAAATTTGGATCAAGAGTACCCAATACAGGCCAAAAGAGGTAGTTCCCCATTTGGATTAATTTTCTTCTTCCGTAAACTTTTTCCTACTAAAAAACAATAAATATCGGTGAATTCTCTCTTATAGTGAATATGTCGTTAATTATAATTTATGAACTTTTGTAGAGGTGTGTGTGACTCAAGAAAACATACCATTCAAATGCCAATTAGGCAAAAGAGTGAGGACAATAGTTAAAAATGATGACAAAAGACTTATGGTGTAGTTCTTAAAGAGGAAATAATTTTGAACAAATATAACCTTACATAAAGTTATATTATAAAATGTATCTATATATATATATAATAATGTTACCTTATAGTAATTTATCAGTAACATACTAATTTATTAAATAGAATAATATACATGTGAACCTAACTAATGAAGTATAATAGTGTGATATTGAAAAATTTATACTTTTTTTTTAAGTACAACATGTAAAAGTGGAGATCGAACTTACAACTGTTTAATTAGAAATATATACCAGTTGTTGGTTAGAAAATTTATAGTTAGATAATAGTCAAGATATGGCAGCAAAGCATTGGATCGTTGGAATTGCCATTTGATCAACCTGTCCGCTGATTTTCCGAATGCTCCATCGCCACCGATTAAGACTCGAGTCCCTAATATTCAAACTACTTCATTCTTTGGGTTGAATTGGGTTAGATGATTCAAATAATTTAAATCTCAATAATTTGGGGTGTAAATCTTTTCCACCTAAAATAACTTTTACTAAATAATTAACTTATTCCACCCCATCATAAAAGTATTTGAACTTAATTGGTTAAGGTTAATCAAATGACTTATCAACAAAAATAAAATGTCAATCTTTGAAACATATATTTACTTATTTTCAAATATTTAATTAAGATTAATAATTCAATTTCAATTTATATTACAAAAATTTACATTCCAAATATTACATTGAATAATAAATAACGTTACAAAAATGATTGGATGAAATGAAATTAAATATATGCATGTATAATTTTAGCAAGTAAAAGAAATTTTATTTTAAAATTAATAATAACTTCAAATTGACTTTGTTTAACTTAGATTAATTTTGGGTTAACTCGTAAACATCTAAACCTATCCATGAAATTTAATTTACTGAAACTAAATTTAATCCAAACAAGGTTATATTATTCGGATTGAGTTGATTGACAATTTGAATTCTGTTCCTTCTTTTCATATATTTATTTAGCCAAATGGATTCAATGATATGCATGATTTGGTTTTTTGAAATCATCTTCGAATTCTATGATCTAGAAATTTTGAAAACAACATTTTCATGTTGGTGTTTTCAAATTTTCAATTTGAAACTTTAAAATGTATAATTAAATTTAAAAAGATAAAGATTTTGATAGATATGTTACTTAATGTTATAAACTAATTTCATTTTTTTAAAATTAAAAACATGTAAATTATTGTATATTATAAGTTATATAATATTGCAAAATACCTAATATACAAAATTTATAATAAAATATTTTAAAACTAATTTATATTGTTTAGATCTAACTAAATATTTTGTTGGCAACTATTTTAGTTTAAAAATATTGTATACATTAAACAATATTTTAAATTGAGATTTAAATTTTTAATTTATCACTGAACACCAATCTAAAAATATTAAGATAAAATATAAAATTTTTTATTCAATTAATTATTTTCATATCACCAATTCAATGTAGTCTAACACTTTCTAACTAATGGAATTTGTTGGACATCCGTACTCACAACTAACCATCTCAATGCTTCTACACCCAACCTACCCCTAGGCCCTAACCCTAACCCCAGCCCTTTTATTAAATGCTTGCAAGATAAACTCCATTTTAAATCAAATTCAACGCCTATGTCCCACCGCTCTATTCTACTGACGACATTCTCTATCGCATTTAGGTAATTTAGGATCGGTTTGATAATTTTACAATTTATTGTTTCTTGATTCTAGTTTTCGATCGATAAGAAAAAATATTTTTAGTTTTTTATTTTTAAAAATACTTTAAAATTTGTATACAAATTTTGAAAACAATAAAAATAATATTTCTAATTTATTTTTCAATTTCTAACTTTTGTTTTCAAAACATATAAAAAAACTTTAAAAAAGCATACATAAAAATATTATTTCATCATTATTTACTTTTATACATACATATATTAAAAATTTTCAATATTCAATTTTAAAAATTAATTTTTATATAAAACTTTAAGGGTGTATTTGGTTGGTAATTTAAAAACGAGATTCAATGAACAATTGAGTTTTATTCATGTTTTTATTTTTAGTAGTAGATTTAAAAATTCAATATCAACTTAAAAAATTGTCGTAATATTTGTAAACTAGGTAACCACTATTTAGTTATTCTAAAATTTTATTAATTAATTTATTAATATATATTATAAATTTTTTATAATTACTATTTATATTAATAATATATTATGTTTTAATCTTTTAATCTTATCAAACAATTGTAGTGTATTTATTCTTGTATTTATCTTTTTAAATTTAGTTATGAATTTTAAAGTTTAATCTAAAAATACTTGGATCATATTACTAAAAATAGTTTAAAAAAACATATATGTCAATCACATATTAGAATCTGAAAAGGGAAAACAATGGACAAAATTTAGATCCTAAACTAAATCTGGTAAAATAGTTGGTTCTGATGAGAAACCTTGTTCTCCTTGTCATTAAATATTTGACAATTAAAAAAGAGAAATATCAAGACATAAATCTTTTTTAAATAATAATGAGTTGTGAAATATTTAGTGGTGAGGAGGACATCTCATGGTTGAAGAGGCAAGATTTCCGTTTTAAAAGGATAGAAAACAACGAAATATGCTAACATATTTATGTTTTTTTTCAAAAAAAAATGATAAATAATAAATAGTTACCAAGTGGGCTTTACTTTATTAAAAAAAAAATTGAAAAACGTAAAAATTACTGAACTGACCCTTAATTTCTTTGTTGTTGCAGTTTCATAAACTTCTCCATTAAATTTAAGCATACCAATCCTGCACTATTTACCAACGACCTCGCTGGGAAACACATAAGTCAACTATAATCTACCCTAAAAAGTTCAAAGAATTGAAAAAAAAAAATTGCGACTTTCAGAAATTTTAGGCTTTTTTTAATTTTAAAAAATCGATCATGTAATAAATGGAGGATGGAACGTGGAATGTCTTTAAAAATATACATGAATATATTAGTTATTAATTTATGTCCATATTGGCATTCAAATTTGAAGTTGAAACGTGTTCATATCAGTCTATTTACCAAATTAAAGTAATTAATTTTAAATCAATTATTAGAAGATCAACCATTGAAGACGTCTACTAACCAAACAGAAAAAATTGAGATTGATTCAGTTTAAATACTACTTATTTAAAATTTCATGATTTTAATTTCATCGATATGTATTGGTGGGATGAATTGAAATTGATTGATTGATATTTTGATTTGGGCTTGAGCTCCTGCCAGCCTCCAAGTTGGGATATTGCGGTTTAATTAAAAAAAGAAAAGCATGAAAATTGAAAACATCGGCATGAGGTCAAATATGTAATTTGAGGAGAAAAGGGACGAAAAATAATGATAGATATATGATATATAAAAATAGAAAACAGGGATAGAGCCAAAATAGGAAGGAAAATAAGTAAAAAACAAAGGCCGTAAACAAAGAAAGTCAGTTCCGTTTTAATTTTTATATTGGGAATTGGGAAATGGGAAATGGGAATGGAAGGTATAATGGCTTCTGACCCAAAAGAAAACGAAAGAAAAGACGGAACAGATTTGATGTCCTCTTTGGTTTTGGTACGCCTCTTCCCTCCCTTCCCTTCCCTTCATTCTCAATTTTCTTTTTCCATTTAAAACCAAAATAATAAAATATCGGTAGTGGCCGCCGTGTCATTTTCTTTTCCATAATTAATGTTTTACGTTTTTTTTTTAATTATTTACAAAGAAAGTTGAGACATTTCAGTCTCCAAATATAACTTCACCTCTCAGAATTTCCTTTTCATTTATTTATTCTTTTTTCCCAAACAAAGCAATTTTATTCCTTCACCATATTAACAAGTTGCATACGTGGTAATGGTGGACTCTCATGGAATTTCCTTTAAAGAAAAGCAATTAAACTGTTGTATTAATTATTTGCAAAAACTATTTTCATTTAAACATTAATTTCTTTTTTAATACAATAAGTGATAATAGAAAATCATGATCAAATACATCGTTGAACTAAAATTATGCGAATATATTTTTATTTATTTAACAAGGCGTAGAATCATCATTGAATGAATAGAGATTGGTATCTAATCAACAATAATTTTTCTTAAATGAAAAAAAAAATTCAAGAATTTTGGGAAAGTAAAAAGAGAGATAATTAAAGAGAAGAAAGTGGGGTCGTGGGAATCCGGAAACCTACCCTTCTGATGGTGACTATCTCTGCTCCGCTGCTTGCAAAAACAAAAACAAAAACAAAAACGTGATCAATTTATTTATTTATTTCTAAACTTATCGCTTCGCTTTATCCTTTTTTTTTTTCCTTTTCTGGGCCCACCCTCTCTCCACGCACTGGACTCGATCTTCGCTGCCCCACTCTCACTTTCACTACCCTTTTAAGTACAGAATGTAATGCCTTCTTCCAGTAATTTGATTATTCCAATATTACATTTTTAAATCACATTTAGAAACACTTTTATTTAAATCACCTTTTTTGAAAATTAATTTTAGTAGCGTGAAACAAAATATTAAAATAGTTTATATTTTAACGCTTTTATGAAAATAACCATGATTAAATCACTTGGCCGATGATTCTTATTCTAAAACTACTCTCACACATATTTTAAAAATATAATTAAAAATACTTATAAAATGGTGGCTCATTATAGACTTCTAAATGTGAAGTTCAAGAAGTCATCCGTCTCAGTTAGTTGAGGTTTAATATAGTAGAGATATTTTATTGCTATACAAAACTAACTTTTTTTTTCTGTTGTTTTCATTTCATTTAAATTTGATTCCCACAAACATTATTTTTTTTATCATTAAATTGAGTTCTTTTTTCTAAAAAATATGAAACAATATTTTTTTCATAAATAAATTAGTTTTTTTTCATACAACTTTTAATTATTTATATGACATTATTTATTAATTAATCATAAATGATGAATTGAGATAATTAATATCATATTTTTACCTGTAATCAATTTTTTTTATAAAGTTGGTATTAATATTATGATTTTAGGCGTAATTATTTGTTCAGCTTTTATGTTATAATTTATGTTAGTAAAGTTTTAAAATAACATTTATTTTTAAATTATCAACTTTATTTTCTTTTATCCGGCACTAAAAATGAATGGAAGAGTAGATATTGTTAGAGAATATATAATTTTAACTAATAACTAAATTAATTTTTTTTATTACAATAACTAAATTAAATTTATTATATTATTAATTGCTAGTATTACTTGATTGTTTCTTTTGTAGTACAAACACGTGCTACGAGGATTCGAACTTCGATTCGACTTCTTAGTTGGATATAGGTGATTGAACCACCCCTAAATTGACTACCACTTGATTGGCTAGTTGCTTAGAATATATTGAAAATATTAAATTATTAATTTGAACTATCATACTTATACCTAATTGTAAACCAACCTGATATTATCAAAACAAATATTTTAAATTAACTTGCCGGTAGCTATATAATTTTGTTAAGAAAGTAACCTTCAAAGGTTGAACCATTCCGAAAACACTAGGTTGACTTAGTAGAATTAAAATTGAAATTAGTTGGACTAATAGAGAGTCTTAATTTTAATTTTGAAGAGAGATAATATTAAAATAGGAATTGATAGGCACAAACCAAATTAGTTAAAGAAAGAATATGCTGACATATAGTACAGTACAACGCCGAGTGCGTTTAAAACTCAAAAACTATTTAATTCTGTAAAATTAATCTCAAATCATTATGAGCTATTTTTTGAGAGCACAATAGTCATTTGCTATGTTATTTATTTGGGCAAAGGAAATGAAATGGAATTCTAAATATTTGATAACAGGCAGCACGTGTCAACAGAATTTTATCGAAGAACTCCATAAATGTAAATGTGACGTGTCAGTTTCCGGTTGCCTTATATTTGGCGGATGCGCCGAACGTGTCAGTGGATGAGAAGCGCACGAAAATCGAAACGTTTCAAAGCCTTTGTTTGCAACTGAATTAGCGGGGATGCTGTATATTATATATATAAGGGCGAGAAGAGGATGATGAAACTTGAAACTTGCCACCAAACATTGTTTAGGCCTGCTCTCGTCTCTGTACTCTCACTCTGCCTCTCGCAGTGTTCTCCTCGTTCCGTTTCGTTTCGTTGGCTACTCTCGATCATCGAACTCATGGCGTTTCGCAGATCTGAATCAAGAAAATGCAATGATCGGCAAATTCTCAGGTTCGATTTCTTGTTCTCTAACTGCTTTTGGTATAATCATGTCTCAGAAGGGCCGATATCCTAAATCACAAGTTGTTTATCCACTTTCCGTTTCAATTAGAGTTTCAACTGCAGTAGTGCATCCTTCTCGCCACCAGCTTACCGCATCGGCGATGGCCAGTTCTACACGAGGTACGACTACTTTCTTTATCATCTCTCTCTTTCTTTCGTTATGTGTTCATGGAGCAGCTTCTTAGTATAAGAAAATTAAATTGAGACTGACGAACTTAGACTTTTATCTAGACGATAGAATTCGTAAGATTTTCTCCTTCGACTCAGCCGATTGAGAACTCTGTGTAACGCAACTCCATTTCGGTTTTTATTCGCAATTTAACAGTTGAAACTGCGATATATTTGTGAAACTCTGCCGTAGTTTATAGTAAAACATTGTAGGACCAAGACCGGGCTCTGTGCGCAATAGTAATTGATCTTGCAATAGTGGTGGTTGCTCTCTCACAACGTTTATACACATTATTAAGAGATCGCTCTGGTTCTGATTCATTTCTTAAGCACGGTGCGAGGATAAAGTGCCTTGGTTTTACCGCACCATGGATCATAACATTATCAAACAAACAAGTCAGTGAGTAAGTTCTCATTTCAATCTGATGCTTATGTGGTTATTGCAATTCCTTGGCTCATTAGGATTCCATTATTATTCTATTCGATCTATTGAACTCCGGAGATGACCTTGTTATCTAATTTCTTCAAGTCTCATAGTATCAACTCCACAGTCCACACCAATCTCTCTGCCAAGACTTTCTCCTGATGTGCCCAGCGGATCTATGAAACCGATCCAATTCTTGTCTTCCGTGCGAATTGCCATTTCAATTCGGTTGCCTTTTTCTTCACATCCACTAACAATGTAACATCAATACTAAGGATTTTTTATCAGATTATGTTTTGTCTTCTCTTTTACATTAGGGCCCCTCCTTGTGAGTCAGAGCGTTTTTTCTCAGATAAATGCATATATATTTTTTTCAATATCGGTAAGGGTTAGACGCAGCTTGTTCAAACAAATCCTGTAGGATTTCAATATCTTACATGAGCGACCAGGAGTCCTTTTACTTCATTTCTATTGTTCTAAGCCAACGTAGAGTGGTTCAGTTAAATGGAGAATAGAAATTGTACTTAATCGAATATGTCAGCAGGAGGTAACATTTATCTTCACTGGCTTCCCATAACATTGGTATCAGGCTCGCTTGTGGCGAAGTTGGTTAGGATTAGGAAAGTTCTGCTATATTTATCAACGATCATAAGCTCTTTAACGTGAAAACTATACCGTGGTATCAACATGGGAACTATGAATTAAAAAGAATGATTCTGCTTTCTAAGAGAATGAATTACAATATCTTGGACAATCTAGGGCTACCCGTCATTTGTTTCTCCATTACTGTGTTCGGCCGAGAGGATATCTGAAGCTCCCTATTGGAAATTGGTGTGCAGAATTTTGGCCGTTGAGACTTAGAGATCCGCATTATCGTCGATTAGCCCACTTTCGACATCCTCGTCTTCTTTGGCAGTCTCCTCTCCTGCTGTCGTAGCCAGCTCCACGGCCCTCGTACTTTGTTGGACCCAGTCTGTTCGAAGTAGCGTACGCACCAGCATACACAAACAGGAAATCTGAGCAGTCATTAGTCCAAACCATAATCCCAGAAAGCCAGTATTGAAGGTGAAAGTAGCCAGGACAGCAACGGGCAGTCCAATGAAGTAGAATGCATACAAATTTATTCTTGCCCCTAGTTTCGGTCTCGCAGTCCCTGTTAAAACCCCACAGGCGACGGTTTGAGGAGAGTTGCTAATTTCACACAGACCCAATATTGGTAGTGCACTGGAGATCATCTGAAGAATCTGTGGCTCATCTGTATACAATTTTCCCCATACCGACCTGACGGAGGTCATGAAAACGAAGGCGGCTAGTCCAAAAGCCAACCCCGAAGAAAGTCCTATCACGGCGGTCCACTGGGCACGAACGGGTTGCCCTGCGCCGAGGGCATGGCCTATGCGAGTTGTAATTCCTGCACTTAAAGAAAATGGAACTATGTACAACATTCCGGTTGTCTGGATGAGGATACCCATGGCCGCGACGGTGTTCTGTGGGTTACTCAGAAGGCCACAAAGGAACAACATTATCTCGTACCACCACCACTCCAAGCACACCGACACCGCACTCGGCACTGCTAAACTTAACAAAGGCTGCCATCCCTGGAAAGTCGACAGAATTGTGACGCCATGCCAAGGCTTCAACGGTTTACTAGAGAGAGCAAGGTAAATCATTAGACCCACATTTAGGTTCAAGGTGTTCCACGCGAGTGAGAGAGCCACACCTTCCACCCCCAACTTCATATATGTCACCAGAAAGTAATTTATGGGAGGGTGTAATACGGCAGAGCAAATGGAGGCTACTGTAATTGGGGTGGTGATGCCTTGGGTTCTTAAGAAAATCCTGAGTGGCAGGTGGTGCGCTTGAGCTAGCAATTCAGGGATGGAGAAAACCATGTAAACCTTTGCAACTTGAGTGATGGCAGGGTCCTGACCTAACCAGAGAAGGATGGGTTCCATATTTAGCCATAAGATGGAGATGGGTACGGAGACAAGTAGTAGGAGGCAGAGTGTTTTGAGGAAGGTTTGACTGAGAAGTGACCATCTCTTTGCTCCAAAAGCTTGGCAGCAAATTGGATCCATGCCTGTTGATAGGCCCCTCAGAATTGATATGCCCGTGATGTTTCCGAACCCAAGTGCCAGTGAACCACCAGCTAGTTCTGCTTTCCCGAGATGACCTAAGAAGAGCATTGAAACAACCGACCTTGAGTATATTAGAAAAGACGTCATTATTATGGGGCCTGCAAACTTCGCCAGGGATTTTAACTCCTCTTTCATCTGCACGGATGCCATTGCCATAAACTTTATTAAACATCGTATTCACATCTTAATTCCTTCGCTATCAATCTTAACACATCCTGATTCAATGTTAGTTGGGGTCCCTCCCTTGCCAACTCAAAAACACCAGAGACTCTTCATGTACTTAGTAAAATAAAAATGCAAATAAAATGCTTGAAATTCCCAAACTATCTCAATTTAGCCTTCCTCCCCTTAGAAGTAAGGCAAAGGAGAAAGGGTTGGATCCCCTAGAACTAGAAGGTCTTATTGGTGAAGTTTGTCAATCGGCAAAAAACAGTAACTATTCTCAAGGGCTTCAAAGAAGATGTCATAATGCAAATTCTGTGATTATTTTTCTTAAATTAGTTTACGTGTAAATTAAATATTAAACTGTTTCACGAATTTCAAACAAGGCGCTCATTTGGAAATTCCTTAATAACTAATATTACAAACAATTTTTTTTTTAAGTAAAATATATAAGAGGGGGAATTCGAATTGATAGCCTTTTGACGGAGAATTTATGCTTTAATCAATTCAAATTGGGAAAGACTCTTATTTCTTCTTTCCGTGCAATCCCCTAAAGTTTCATTTTATTCATCTTTTCTATGTCTTGAAATTTGAATAATTCTCCGGATCCTTGTTTAGGGAAAAAAAAAATAAGAAAAAGGATAATTTTTTGGTCAATTAATGGTTACATCTCCCACTCCACTATGAATTAATAATGAAAAAAAAATCTTCAGCTTGTTAAAAAAAAAAAGGAAATAAAAGATTATTGAAAAAATGTGATAGAAAGCCTTATAATGAGATTTGCTGTAACTGGGGTGGTCTTTAGAAATAAGAATAATAAACACTCAGAGAGAGAGGGAGAGAGAGAGGGAGAATAACGATGGAAAAAAATTATCTAAAAAATTGAATTTAGTAAGCTTCAGACGGTAAATGTCATGCCAATTCAACATGGCATTTAAGTTTAACTGGGAAATCTCTCCAGAATTTTGCTTGGGTTGATTTCCAATGGAATCAATAGTTCGAATTCGTTTAACTAAAACTCACCCCGCCTAGTCCCCATGTAGATCTTGCCCACCAGGAAGGAAATACCAATGAATACGAATACCCGATGTCAGGGTCAGCGTCCCTTTTGGTTTCTAACAAAGCGTTGTGTTCTATTAATACTCAACGCCCTGGTATTATTTACAAGAGAAAGAAAATGGGAGCCGATGAAATAGAGATCTTAGATTACAGCGAATGAGGCTAATATATAGGAAAGTGAGTTTATATAGCAATGTTTTAGCAGTACAATGATAACGTAAATTATCCACATCCCTTCGTCATCCATCAGTCCCCACCAAAGACATAAAAATCAAAGCCAGCAATTTATTACGTCGCTATCATTTTATTGGTAAGGAAGAAAGGGATACTCATACTCTACTCCTATGTCGAGACGAGTAATTAACTTGAGTACTTGAGAACCAACCCTCACAGGACACTGGAATTCCTACAAAAACAGTCCTACTGCGTGTAGTGTGTGCCTTGAGAGAGAGAGAGAGAGAGAGAGAGAGAGAGAGAGAGGTACCTCATCTGGAGGCAGCCCTTGGGGAAGACCATCCACAGGTAAAAGCCGCCGTAAGAAGCCATCGATGAATCCTCCTTCGCTTCTTGTATCACTCATTTTCAGTTCATCTTAGACTTTCCCATCGTCTGCTAATGTAATGTTCGCCATTTATAATTCCTCGAGATTCAGTCTTCCACATGTTATCGGGGAGTATATGTATATGTAAAGCCCCGGTCACACAGAAAAACTAATCATAAAAGTACAGAAACCTGGACCAGTCTCAAGAGACCGTTTATCTTGGCCAGCGCTGTTAAAGAGTTTGAGCTCTAATCTTTTAAACTACAGAGAATGTCTGTCAAGTCACCTAGAGAGGAAAAGTACAAGTGATCATGATTTCCCTCTGTGTTTCTCCTCATATTAAAATGCTTCCCCTTACAATGATATGTGAATTTGTGCAAATCCAATTATTAAAAAATTAATCGAAGTTTTCTTTTCTCTTTATTTTAATTCATCACATGGTTCAAAGTAATGAAAATTCAAACCTTAAAGTCTTCAAATCCCCCATCTCCTTACTGTTTTGATGGACTCTGCCGGTAATATTGGTCTTAGCTCCGGAAACTCATTCCCACATTTTTTTAAAAAAAGTTTTCATGTTCTCAGTTATCTTGGTATCCTAATTGTCGGGCGTGAAAAGTATTATGTGACTTGTTTTATATAGGTGCAATAGGATAGTAATAAATATTTGAGAGAACAACCTCATAGTTTTTTTCTTATTTGATATGGTTAGAAAAATAGTTCCCTTTATGCGTTTAACCTGTGTTATGTCTTTAGGCTATAGAAAACGCCATCTTATATAGTTTGTTTTGACCATTAAATTGTTGCCTTGATAAGATGGCAATATCTTTCAGGGGCCCTCCCCTAATCTCACCCCCAGTAGACACTTAGGGTGAAAGGTTTTGTGCTTGTATAATACACAGTTAAAGTGCATTTAACTTTTGTCATGCCAATCTTTTTTACTGGGCTCTGAGCTAGCTAAACGATTCTTGAAATGTCATATACTTTATCATGTGCTTCCTTTACCCTATCGAAGACAAAATCTTTATATCCATCACATTGTAGCTCTGTCTATAGTTTCTTATGGAAAATATATACAACTATGTACGGTTATATGAAACATGTGCTAAGAGAATCGAAATTTGAAAATTGGAACTCCACATGCGCTTGTTTGTAAGGATTGTGTGAAAGAATTTTGACATCATTTATTCAATGAAATACAATGATTTGTAAGTTAGCCAGTCCAGCCATATATCCACCGAAAAGCACCAAAAATTAAGGGTTGTTTGGTAACCTATTGTTTCTAGTTTGAAAATTAAGTTGGTAAATATTATTTATTTCTATGTATTTATTTGTTTTGCTATCTATGTTATAGAGAAATTTTTCAAAATTTAAGTTAAATTTTGAAAACTAAAAAAAAACGAAGTAGATTTTATTTTCTTAATTTGTTCTAGAATTAAGCGTTATTAGAGAAATTGTGGCAAACTAACATAATTTTTAAAAGCTAAAAACTAAATGGTTATCAAAAAACATTGCTTAGAATATCAACAATTGATCGGTTCCAATGGATCGAATCTAATTCATTGTCGATCATTTACATTCCTAGTGGACATATTTTCCATCTCGATTGCCCTGTAAACAGTGTCAACTAATGAATTCTGTAGTGTCCCCTTTTTCAGGTGACGATGTTGCCCTCGCAGCTGCAGGCTTCGCTAGAGGCATCTCTTTGTTAGTTTCAGGTACGCTAAATAAATTTATTGCTAAGAATGTTTTTTTTATACGTGAAACCAATTTGCACATAAATAAAAGAGCATTTAAATTGAGGAGAATAACACTTACCAGTATTAATAATTACAGAAGAAATTTATATATGCTACCCTCTTATAGTTACCCCTACGAACTTGTCAACAGTACGTGTACATTCAGGATGACTTGCCAACTGCACGTGATACAGAAAATCATAATTATAATGTGTTAGGCTCTAGCTGTACTTCACTGCCATTCGTTTATATTTAATTTTAATATATCACAAATAATAGAACATTCTTAGGTTTGCTTACACTGTGTGTCGTTTAAAATACACACACCATAGGGGTAGAATAAGGGCCACAATCTGACCCTATACATCATCATCAATCGACCCCACTAGAGTACTTCCACACGAGTTTACAGATTTAACTTTCTTCCTTTCTCTTTTCCCTTGACCATCAATTATGGGCTATTTAACCTTCTCTTTTACCTTGCCAATATTAACATAACTCTTCTTACTCATTTTCTGCTTTTAATAGCTTAAGAATTTATTTCTATCTTAAAATTTTAGAGTTATTCTTAAATTAATGTTTTACTTTTGAGAAAAAAACTTCAAGTGAAAGGATATTTTTGTGTAATTGTTAGATATTTTTTTTTAATTTCACCCGCACCTGTTTTTTTGAATTACTTAAAATGTTTTTTAGTACAACATGTGGGAAAAGGGATTCAACTCACGATTTTTTTTTTATCGGAAATAAGTGTCTTGAAACTATGTTCAATTGGCAAATCGTTGTTCCTTAAATACCAAAGTTTATAAATATTGATTGATTTCAGGAGTAAAATAATTTTAATATTTACCACAGTTAAGTTCAGTTTTGGTCATGGTCTTTAGAAACAGGTTCGCAAAGAAGATTTTAAATTGTTTTGAAAATAGTAGAAGTTCTTAGAATTTAATTGATTTGTACAAATAAAAGCAACAAACTGGATTTGATAAATGGTGAATCCTTTATTTAATCAATTGTAAATATACCGATTCAAATGGCTTTAAATAATAGATAAAATAATATTTTAAACTAATCATGAATGAAATTTTGTTTTTCTTGTTCAGAATGCATTTTTAGTGAGTTTCGCCCATTGGTTTTTATCTCATTCTTTCAAAATGACTATTTGCGCGCGCGCGCACAGTAAAGAAAAAAGGAAATAAAAATGGGAGGAGTTTCAAATCATTTGTATATGGTTTTTCCAAGTCCATGCATCTCTGTTTTTCTATTTTCTCTGACATAGTTTAGGGCAGAAAATCTCTATATCACCTCTCCCAGCTGACAATTGACACCTATGGCAAAAACATGTTTATGACATCACTAGAATTTGAGGGGGAGAAAAGGTAAAAAATGATCAATAGACATTAGGTATCCAAAACCATGTCGTCCCCTACGGAGAGGAAACATTATGTGACCCCATCTGGTAGTAATTATTATATCATTTTCCATACGTGTGTTTGTGTGTTGGGTACCTAACTTGTGTCAATAATGCATTCCATAAGCTCCTTGCGTCTTGCGAAAACTTAACTAGGTAACTAGCTAGCTAGGAATCTAGTAGGGACGGACTTCTAGCCCACCATCCGTTTATTGGCAGGAACCACAGAGTTTTTGAGATAAACAAACGTTTGGATTTATTTATTTTTCTATATATCTTTGAATAAAATCTTCATGAAAATATGTTTAATTAATTATTTTTGGTTTGCAACGACTTATTTTCTAATATAACTTTGACTTGTATGACTTGTTATTAGTTATACAGAAACATCACATTTACTAAGATATTGGAAAAGATTTTTAATTAGGAATTACACTTCTTTGAACAATTTTTTTTGCGCCAACCCTTAGCTAGCTAGATCTATTTTGACCTTTTTGGTAACAAAACAGTGTGGATGTGACATTTCCACGATATCATTGTGCTCCTCCTTTATCTGACTCCATCCCTTTAATCTTTTCTCTATTCTCTCTTCTTTTTGTAGTTGCCCCGTAGGTTGTTCATTATGGCCGTACACTTTCCAAGTTGCCTCTTCGATCTATACTTTAGGCATATAAATCCCTTTAATCCTTTTAAACTCGTACGTGTATTAGTGCCACATCTTCTTTCTCACAAAGGCCTCTACTGCATATCTCAAGAGTCACTTCTACTACTTTATTCAAGGTCCAACATGATGAGTTAGGAAAAAAGTAGAAAGACCCAAATTTCTATTTCAATTTTTTTTTTTTTTTTTGTTCCTTGGAATTTACTTGATTAGTTTCTGATGGACCACCACTTTTTATATATTCCGTCTGTGTTTTAAAATAGTTTATCTACACCTTTTTGTGGGCCACTTGTGTTATTCTATTCTTCTAAACCTTACTTTTCCTTTAACTTTTCCCACTACCTTTTCTGGGGGCTTGAAGCTTCTTGATTTTCGAAATTTTTTCTCGGTTATGCTAAAGTGAATGAACCGTGCGTGCGATTAGTTTGGCAGTATAATTAATTATAAGGTCCTCCATCTCTAATCACTCTTAACTTTAGTTCATTCTTTCCACGTTGGTCCGACATGATGTTGTTGTAAGATATTGTTTTCAAAATACGTAGGGGCCCATTTATATAAACTCTATATATTTTGTTTTGTAAGTTTTTATAAAAAAAAACACATTCGCATAGCTAGTTAGGTTACCGATTTCTTGTTTCCTATTGGTTCATATAACTTCAATTATTTGAGGTCTCAAAAACAAAATGATGGGTGGTTATGTCCATGTCCCCCGTTTTCCTCGCATCCTCATAAGGTGATAGGTTCAATAATAATGAAATAGCCTCATATAATCCTATCAGAGGAAAGGAAGAGAAGTTTTAATAGAATTATGTTAATACCCACCAACTGCTTCATTATTGGCAACATTCTTCGGATATACTTATCACTCAGTTAGCTCTAATAAGGTTTAAGTGACCTCTAATTATTATAGATGCAGCTCTACCCTTCAATTATTGGCAGCAACCGACAGTTGATTTTTATGAAACAAGCTCATATTCTTATTATATTGATCGGATTTTGGGTTATAGCCTATAGGTACGGGTGTAGAAATTATTCACTCGAAAAATTAGAAATGGCGTGGAAGAGTTTGATATGTTGTTTTCTAGAGTAATTTCCAGGATCAAGTATGTGAATTTAGACTGCTTGATCTCTTGACAGATTGAATGCTCATCTTTTAGCATCTGATTAAGTGAGAATTTTAAGTGAGGCTTACATAGTAACATAGAGATAAAAATATTTAAAGGGGTAGTTTGAATCACAACACCAATAATTTGAGTTCGTTAAGCTTGGGTCCGTGTAATTTAGGTTTGAATTGTAAAACTGAAAAAGTTGCAGAAACTTAAGTTTTTATGATTATGTTTTGTTTTGAGAGTTTATGATTTGTAAAAGTTAGCATGCAGTGATAAAATCAAGTATACATAGTCATTAGCAACTCTATTTTTTTTAGTACAACAATCATGAGACGGGGATCGAACCTCTAACTTTGAAGGAAGGAGTTAGTGTCTTGACTTCGGGTGAGATTAGCAACGCTACTATACGGATGAGTAAACCACATGCCAAATAAAAGTTCTTGATTGATTGATTTATTTATTTGTAGTTTTATCTGTATTAATTATGATCTATGAAAATTAGTATAGTATAAAAGGTAAGTTATAGTTATAAATTTAAGAAGTTTGTAGGATTAGTAAACTTGCAGCATTATGGGATAAATAAATCAACTTATCAATATATCTTGTATAAGTTCTGATTTATTAATACCTAATTAATTACGTAAATTAATTTTCGAGCCAAATATCCCAAAGGAATAGAGTAAGCCATGCTAAATGAAATATACGCGGTCAAAGTCAATGTCATATTTACAGTCGTCCCCTATATTGTTTTTGCTCAAGAAGAAAGTGGCACCAAATAATTTTCATATTACTTCTTATTTTATATATATATTGGGGCCTGCAATTGTTATAGCTGTGTGTGATTATGGCTGGCTTCTGTGAATTCTGTCCTGTACTTCTCTACATTATTTGATCAATTCTTTTTGGCAACTTTTGTCAGGGGGTGGGAGTGATTTTCTCACAGGAATAAGAATAAGTATGAGGTCGATCGAATTGGAATGACAAGAAAAAGAAAGATTTCTAATGTTGTGGTTGCTTCGCAATTGGTATGGAGAGTATTATTTACTAATGTTTGAAATGAAAATAAAATTATAGTTAGTGTGCGAGAACGTGAATGACATTTTAATATGTGTAGGTGGGTTTTTTTGGTAGAACGTGGGAAGTTGTGAGAGTTAGTTAGATGGGTTAGTTAGCGGGAAAGAATGGTAGGAAATAAGTTGGAACTTTTGGGAGTGTGCTCAAAATCCTGAAAGCAATGGAGAAGAGAATAATAGAAAATGCAAGTTGATCGATGAGGCAGCTACACAGAATCATCTTGATTGATAATCTATGGACTTACATCCTTGAATTTTATGCATATGTTTCATTACTAGCTACTTTGTCCCTCCATATGTCTCCATTTTAGTTGATTTTATTTTATAACAAAATGATGGAAAAGAAAAAGGGGGAAAGAGAGAAAGGTGGTGATTCTGATGGGCCGTACGTGGAGAAGTGCATGCGTGCTGGTATTGGATTAGCAGACTAAAATTATAGTGTAATGTAATCAGTAATTGTACGCATGTATTGGAGATGAGGCTGGAGGAACAACTAACCGACCATTCTTTTGTACGGAAGATGCTTCCCTGACCAATCTGAGCTCCCCCATATGCAACTTCAGTATTCCAGGTATTCTATTTATATACTTTTGAATATTTCTACTCTCTAACTTTATTACCTTTTCTATTTAACTATATCCCTTTCTGCACTAATATCGGTGTGGTCGCACACGCATACTTTCAACTTCACCATGTTCTCTTCTTGCCTCATTATTGTCTTTCCACCAAAACAAACATATTTTATTTCTTTTCAAAATCTCACTCTCTCACTCTCACTCTCACTCTCACTCGCCTCAAAGCTGCCGCTGCTACTGCAGCACCAGTTTTACACACAACACTAGGTAACGCCAAGTTCTAAGCCTAACAATTGGCTCCTTGGAAACTATTATTGTGGCCACTACCACTTAATTAACATTATCTTTATCATCTTAGACTTTAACAGGAGAGAATTCTTAGCATTTAATCAAATAATATGCTTTCCCTTCCCATGAGGAGAGTGCCTTTCATTTGGTAGGTATTCCTTTGGGTTACGAGAAAACACTTTTCCTCCTTGTTTATTTTTCTTTTATATTCTTAATAAAACTCTACCCGTAATTCTGAAGCTCTAGCTGCTTTGCATAAACCATCATTTTAAATCCATGCAATTAATTTATTTTAAGAAAATATATATATGAAATTGAGAGATTGGAAGTAAGGGAGAAAAAGGTACAAGGGTGTAGAAGAAATAACCCAAAGTAGATCCCTGCAACTAGTCTGAAGTCTCATTTACAAAAAAGATTCTTCCCCCGACCTAGAAATGAAAATCATAACAGAGAATTGGGCTCCGTAGTATCAGACTTTTTCGCCTTTGAATGCGTAGAAAACAAGGTAAGCCACCATAAGGCCTAGGCGTAGACTCTACTGTAGAGAGTCTATTCAACTTTTGCGACTCCAACGCCAGGAATGCTGGTTTCGACTACTGTTTCTCTTACAAACCTGAAAACAATACAATAAAAACAAAACTTGGTAGTTTTAGGAAAACAATGAACACCAACAACCTCTCTCGTATGTGTACCTTGCTAACTTGTCCTTTGATGATTGCAAGATGTAAATTGACAAAATAAAAGTTAGCGTCAGACCTGTTTGCAACACAAAACCAACCCAATCAATCAAAATCTTTAACACACTACTTCACATTCTATTCTATATCTACTAACTTATACCTCATTAAATAACTATTTTGTTTTCATTCTAAAAAATACAAATAAGAAAACAAATCTCCATTACGTTTGCTATTTTAGTGATAAACTACTCCATTTTCAAATTTTAAAATTGTAAGTAAAAGTTGCAAATGACCACACAGAGGCCATCTCTCTAACCGACCCCTTCAACACTACCTTTTTTCTATCTAAAATTTATTTCCACCAGAATTTTCCTCTTCAAACATTTCTCTCTTTTTTTCTCCAACTTTGTTTCTCTTTATTATATCTCTCCCTAAACTTTTCTATCTTTTTCCTCTCTTAACTCGTACATCTCTGAAAAACTTTTTGCCTCTAATATTATATAAATATTTTTTCCCTCTAAACTTATCTCTAACTTACCTCCCTTTAACTTTACCTTCTCTCTCTAACATATATATCTCCCTAAGCTTCCTTTCCCTCTTTCTAACATCTCTAACTCGTATCTCTCTAAAGTTTTTTATTTTTGGGTCTCTATCCAATATTTTATACATATTAATATTAAAGTTTGAAAAGTATAGCTATGTGTTGTCATGGAACCTGAAGTTTACATACAGCGTGCATAATGGGCTTGTTATGTTGCCAGGTTCATGTTTATGTGTTGTCAAGATGCAGAGCGAGTGAAGCAGTAGTTTTTACTAAGGAATGCATGCTTTTACCTGATCCAAACAAAACATATAATCCAGATGTCACATCGATCTCTGATTGCTCCTCCCTGGAACAGACAATAACAAAGGTTCAACAGAATCTCAATGAATCATGTACATTGTGCTCTATAAAGTTGTAAATGACAAAGCCTCCAGGGATTGTATAAGCTCTGCCACATTAGGAAACTGTACTTCTACCAAATATTAAATTATGTTTCTTATTTTCCTTCCATTTGTTGACTGTTTTGCTATTCTTTAACAATCAATGTACCATAGACACGAACAACTGTCTGATTCACAGTGGAATCCAACTCATAAATCCTACGGTAGAAAGCGTCATTATCATTTAAATTATGACCTACTAAGAAACCAGTTTCCCACGTTTGGAGCATGCAAATTATTAACTTAAACACTAATAAACAGAATCCATGTTATACATCAAAGGGTGAGTCTAGGATGACTTTCAGAAGGATTAAAAGTGCTTTTAGCCAATTAAAAGCATTTTTCAAAATTCTTATAGTGTTATGATAATCAAAAGTATTTTTTAAAATTATAAAAACACCCAAAAGCACTTAACTAGTGTATCATCCAAAAGTACCTAATAGAAGTCTTTTCACTCAAATACATTCTTTTAAAAAATCATCCTAAACTCCCATAAAAATTCTATAATAATATACGATCAAATAGAATGTAAATCACCAACTTACCACGTATAACGGACCAGCACATGCTTTGGCCAATGTTGTTGGTCCCAGAATTGTTTACTAATATGTGGATGAGTATCAATATCTATTGAGAAAAAGAGTAATCAGAAGGGAAACAAAAAATTCACTCAAATAATGATCAGGACAGGGATGGATATGAATCAGTTAGGAACTTATCAAGTTAAGCCATACGAACTCTCAAAAGGTTGTAAATAATATATAGAACCCTGACTAATAGGAATTTAACAAGCTAAGCAATATCAACTCTCATAATTTGGAAAGAATGGGCTTCTATGCATTTTGCACAACCTTTTATCTTCTACCATCAGGTGGTATTAGACAACTAACTCTAAAGTACTGAAAATGCTATTTGAAGATTAAATTATACTGCAAAATCCACTATGGCCTCAATCAACATATAGAAGCGATGACAGCTGTTTGAAATGCATTTTAGAACAATTTCTGGTGTAAAAAACAGAAGATATCCACCCATTACATTAGAGACTAAAGGGATAGGTATAATGACATACAACACCTGTTGGAAATGTACTGGAAATGACTTCTTCTGTAACATATTGGAGACGTCCACCCATTACATTTATGCTAGAGAACCATGATATAACCCCAAATATCCAGGAATATCAGAGGAAGGGAGTGATGGGAGGGGACCACTGGGTTAAAACTTAAAAGTCATGGTGTCCAGGAGAAGAGCTCTCGTAGTTCTGATAAACGGAAGTATTTCTATCAATTCTAATATAGAGGAAATGCAGTTTTAGGGAATGAATGCAATGGAAAAGCCAAACTTTATGCCATTGAAGAGAAGTTCGTCAGAGTGCAAAATACAGTGGAGAACAAGCTTGTTTGGATCAAGGAATCCATTCCAATTGTCTCCAGAGATATTAATAGTACGCAATTTCTTAGTAGAGGAGCAATAAGTTCAACAGCTTTTCAGAAACGAAAAGGATAAAGAATAGTTGGGAGTGGAGGAGTCCTTATGCAGTTATGCTATATCTCAGATAGCTACATTATCAATTTAAATAGTAAGGAGATCTTAGTTGACGACATTTCGGTGGAAGCCAAAGAGGAAAATAATGATGAGGTTTTTAGCATTAATGGAGAATTTGGTTTTCTGTCCCTAAATTCATTTTCTCTGACTACTTTCTCTATCCCCAATCCCATCATCATCTCCTCTCCTACATCCTCTGTCCGCATCAGGCATCACTACCCAACCCCCCTCCCTGCCTTCTCTCCCTATGGATTTTTTGAAGGAGATGAGGATTTATAATTAGTTTTAGATATGCAAGTAAAATGGATAACTGTTTAGCTTAAGAGATAGCCAAAAAGGGGCTCATGGGCACATGAATTTTTGTAGGTGCTCGTTCCTCACATCAAATGATTTTTATAGAGCTTGCTACACTCTAACTCGGAAAAGAAAAATATTCCAGCAAAAGAAACTATAGTTCTATGCATTGAGGAAGGAGTGCCGATAGCATTAAGAGAGTCAGGACATACAGATATGAGGCATGTCCGCTACTTTGGCAGTCACACCATGAAGATCACTTCCAGAGTATCTCTGCAGCACAAATAAATTTACGATGGTTGTCAGATGAAAGTAGTCTACTCAACTGTGAGAGACCAAATGGTCCAACTATGAACTGTGATAATAAACAGGTATCTGATCTAGCTGCAATAGACAGCATACCAAGTGGACATCAATCATTGGGACTTCTGTACTTTTGCGATTTATCACAAGAAGCCATGGGATAAGAAACTTTTCTTTTCCAACTTGAAAGGATCTACATGCAAATAAGAAAAATGTCACCAGATAACTCGAGAATTGTAATAATCCACAATAAAGGATAGAATATTGCAGCAGATACAAAAAGTAATCACAATTTATTAATATTCAGAAACTTAAACTTCAAATATGCTAATGCTTCAAGTAATCCCATTGGATAGCATTTTTACCTAATATTCTTTGTTATTGCAAAATCTATAGAATATTGTATCTTCACAATTGGTCACCAAAATTTGAACCTATAATCTGGAAAAATATCTAAATTAATAATTTCTTTTTTAACAACTAAGCCAACTCGTGGCAATGAAAAGCAACCAGTTTATGAAAGTAATGAACCAACAACATCCTATTTCAATAATTATAAAGAAAAATAAAGGTAAAACATGGATATTATGTACATGAAAAAACCTTAAGGTTATACATATACTTATAAGCATATGCTTTAACGTCAATCATTAGTCAAACTCCATTTCCATGATGTAGGTGCAATGCAACGGATATTGGAAATCTTTGTATAGCAAATAATGAAACTCAAAGATAATAGCAGGCACTAGGAAATATTGCAACCTCGAAACTGATTTCAAAGCTACACAAATAACGAGATAAGATATTTCAATTACTGATGTTGATAGTTGAATACTACGAATAGTTTTACCACATGAATTATTTTACTGCTTTTCCTTTGTTAAGAAATGTGTTTAAAGAAGTAAAAGAGATGCAATAAATTTTCTTCAGACAGCATGAGTAATAAGACTATGTGAGATGGTACTAAATGTTGGAAAGTACAGTAGAGTAAAAATATCATTAGAAGCTCGTAGCGAGTAAATTGATTGGACCGACTGCACTATTCTTCTCACTCTAAAAGTATAAAAAATTGCTCTTCACTATCCGTTTTCATCATCATTATAATAACTTCAGCAGAAGACAAATGCTTCGAAACGAGAGGTTCTTGGTAAGCAAATGCAGGTTATTCGATTCAGATGTATACAGCTAATGTTCAATAAAACCGTCGGTTTCAGATTTAAATAATTCGGCACTCCTAGAATTTGACGTAAACTAAAAGAAATTTAAGCACAATCTTCAGTACGAGGTTCTCACATTTTATAAGGATCAGCTCCCGTGTAGCCGACCGGCTTTGGTATAGGAACCAAAACCTAAAAATTGAAATGGATCAGTTACTTACGTCATAATATCACCTGAAGAGGCAAAGTTGAAGTGATTAACAACACATACAACTCAATTGGTGAATACCTCACGATTGACGGCAAAGATTGGACAATGTCGACCAATCATATCATGCCAAACTGTTCTCGACTGAAATAAAAAAAAATATAAATCGGTGAAAGAGACAAACAATTAATCTGAAATGACAAGATACAAACAAGCATCCATGGAGAAATTATATGCGAGAAAAAAGAATATGAACACGAACCGAGTGATACTGTCCCATCTTGCTCATCGGAACGATATCTCCTGGCCTGTAAGCCATCGAAATCGGGATCAGAAACAGTAACAGAACCAGGAGCGATAAAATCGACGGTTCTCCCATCGTCGACGGTAATCTGTCCGATCGTTCGAGCTTGGAAGAAATGTAGCTCTACAATCCTCGACGGTTTCCCCTTTTCACCCTTTTGGACTGGCGGGGGCTCCGCGCGACTCGATTCCCTGAATTAGCTCATGGCCCGGGCATTTTCATTTTGGGCCCACTGGCGAAGCAAGTTCAGGCCCAATTTGATTCAGTTGAATGTCTTTTAGGTTAGTCAAGTTATTTTTGTAGTGAATTACAGTTTCACCCCCAATTTCTGTCTTTAGAAAAATAGCCATCATTTAAGTCACTCGGCTAATTTATTTTCTCTATTTGATAATTTCACCTACTAATATCTCATTTTCTTACCAATTTCAAAATTTTTAAAAAATATAATGTAAAAGAAATCATAAGTCCGAGAGTGTATTAGTGTCTTTATCAATTAAGTTATGTTCGAATTAATCGAAAGAAACCATCATTATTTTACACGTTGAGGAAACTCTCTTCTATTAAATAAAAACAAAACAAAAACACTTACACTTAGGCAAGAGGTACACTCCAGGGTAGTGGAGTTGCGGTATGAATAGATTAATGGATGAGTAGGGAAGTTTTAGAACATGAGATTGGTGGAATTTTTTGTTAACCATTTAGAACATATGCTACTTGCAATTCAAACTCTTTTATTTTTCTCGTGTGAAATTTAGGTAACCCAACGCGATTTCCCTTGCATCTATTATCAAACTCACATCCATTGTTACACCAAACATATACCTACCATTCAGCCATAAATCAACTCATATTTAAAACCTACATAAACTTAATTATTGACTCTAAAAAGTGTATGAAACATACTAATTTTCTAACAAAATTTTGGACACCAAAAACTGTTTAGTACGACCCTCATTTCTATGTGATATCTACCTATTTATTTATTTATTTATTGTTGTTAGATATGTTTTAATTAAGATGTTGAAACCGTGATTAGTGTATATGGGAGGTCAACTAAAACAAATAGTACATACTTCTAATTATTATTTTCTTTAAACGGATTCATTCTAAAAAGTACTAGTGAAATGATTTTTATTTATAAATCAGTGTATTAGATGTCAAAATCAGGGACCCACATGAATCTGGTGACAAAAAAGGGTTGGGTTTTGCACAATTAAAGTCAAGTTCTTAGCTACGCATGTGCAGATCAAATGTGTATATATAATTGAAGATGGCATTATTATCAAGTGAATCCTTTGTATGGCGGTTGATTTTGAAGGCCGTTCACCAAGCTGTAAAACCGGCCCTAACAACTAAATCATAATAGTTAATTGTGATGTAGGAAAAAATTATTTGTAAAGACGTTATAAAATTATTGTTTATGTTGACAATATGACAATATATTGATATAATAATGTTAAATCCCCCCTTTTAATCAGCTTATTATACATTTTCAATTAGCATTGTATAAAACATTGCAATATCTCCCACCTTTTTTGCGTTATATTGTAAAAACTTTGCAATATTAAATACTGCAAGTGTTAACAAATTTATATAGTTGCCCATTGTTGGTAATATTTAATAATATTTTTATACGATTATTATATTATTACAACATCACTGCAACAAATAAATATTTTTTATGATCACAAATAAAACTGAAGAATTATATTGCGTTTGGAAAAATAATAATAAAACAGCCAGAATTGTTTCACTCTGACCAAAAAAAAGAATAGAAGATAATTACTATTTTTTTTAGGTACAGTACAATCCGTGTGGGAGATTGAATCTCGACTCTTTTAAAAAAGGTAAATAATATTTTAGTTCATTCAGATCGAATACTAAATTTAATTTGTCATATAACACATTGATTTATTTATTGGGATGAATACATCAATTATCTTATAAATATTCAAACCATTTTTCCAATTAACTAACTGAACTTCATAATGTCTCAAACAAAAAAAAACAAACAAACGAACTGAACTTCATAATGATTATTATTTTTTGGACTTATATTTATTACTTTATTATTTAGCTGCTCAACTAATTTCAACATAATAAATAAACTAGATAACTCAATTAATTAATAACCATTTCTCTGAAAACCGATCTGAAGGTCTTCACTGAAGATCATTCAAGGGAGGAACGACCTTCCATACTTAACTAAATTACAGATGACTAGAGTATGAACTGGAATAGCTACTCCCAACAGGTCGACTTTGGTCTAGATGTGCTCAATCGTCGGTCGGATTCCTTATCGAGTACCTCAACCTGTAAATAGGGTACTTCACTCTTCAGTTAGGTATCGTATTCTAGCTCGGTTTATATATTGAGGTCGGACTAAACTGACTTGAGCATCGGAGTGTTTGTTTCCTTGTGCAGGGTATTTCCTCACCAAGTGGCCTTTTAGCTCAATTCATGACACCAACTCATCCAAGTCAACTGACCTTAACCCTTTGAGTTGGTCATCACTTTCCAATGATACCCAAGCTCTTCTCGTGGTGGAGCAGGTCGAACTCTTCCGCGTAACCGACCTTAACCGGGTCATACCTCAATCACATTTTTTACATAAAACATACAAGTAATAGCTTTTGTTCAAATATAATTTCCAAACATGCCTTTTTACACCCTATATTTGAACATGAGGAGGGTGTAGCTAGTGAAGGAAAATGCAGGAACTGTGAAGGCGTGTTCGGATATTAAAAATAAAAAATAAAAGTTGTTTACGTAAAGGTAATGCTTTTTTCTTCCTTGGCTTTTGATAATCACCACCAAATCTTTGTAACAGAGACGTGCGCGCATGAGAATCGGATTTATTTGTTATTAAAACGAAAATACACAGACCCCACAATTTCGGATTTCCTTCAAGATTTTTGTCTCCCCCTCCACTGGATTCCTTCTATTCCTCCCTTTTTATCTTTTATTTAATGCCTTTTTTCAACGTTTTTGTTCTTTTATTTTCTTCAGAAAAGACAGGTTATTGTCGTTTACGACTCCAGCCTGACAAGATAAATTTGAGTTCTTACTCTTGTCTTAGTAAATGTTTTCTTTTTTGAAGTCTTGTATATATATTGCAAAGGATCATGGAGTTAATAATATTCATACGTTATTCCTTTTAAATTAATTTTAGAAAATTACCTTCAAAATTAATATAAGAAAAACTAACTGACACCAACTTTTTTAGCAATATTTTGATAAATTTAGGACATTAAAAGTTTTCATGGATATTTAATCAACCATTGAAAATTACACTAAATGCGTAAAATAAATATGTATTTATAAAATTATTATTATTATTATTCTTTTATAAGTTTGCATTTTTGAAAAATTTTAAACTTAATACTATATATATATATAAATACACATTTGTTTTGTGCTATTTTAGTAATTCTCTCTTAGAATTATCCCTCTAAAAATAATTATTGTGAGAATTGATGCTAGTTTTATTTGTAAAATCCGATATATACAGACAAGGACGAAGTTGACAAAATCAAATAAAAACAATAAAATAAATCCAAATCAAATCCATGAGTATATAATTTTACGAAATTCAAGGGTTGTTTTTTCGATTTTTTTTTTAAATTTTATTTTATTATTGCAGCCTAATTTTGTAGTTAGAGTTGGACCATCGGGAAGGAAGGAAATAGCTATACAACTTAAAAAATTATAAAAATAGAAAGAAAAAAAAAACAATTTCTGTTATTTCACTTGTCACTCTTGATAAAATAGACGTGACGTGACCGTATTGGTTGCGATGCCACAACAAATATAATAATGAAATGAGCAGATTCATTTCCATTTCTAATCTTAAAAGAAAAAATAGAATTTTGAAGGACAGAAACTGGCAGGTACAACATAAAGGGGAAGAAATTGCTTTCGAACAATTCGAAGCAACTTTTTCCAAATAAAACCCCCAACTTCTGATGCCTTCTTTTTCCTACATATAATTTCTTTTTTCTTTCTTTTTTTTTTTTACATAGGGTTTCGCGAAGCTTTTTCTGGGGCTGTTTGGCCACAGCCAATTAAGCACAGTGCCTTTATTTTATTTTATTTTATTTTTTCTTCATTCAAATTTTGTTCAATAACAGGCTTTAACTTATACATGATATACCTGGAGAGACACTTTCAACTTTTTGTAGCAAAGGATGACTTCTTTTGGACAAAAAATAAAAATAAAAAAACATTTTTTTTTGTGTTGGATTTTTAAATCTAAACAATATTTAGGTGTGCTTAATTACAGCTCATTCAGCACATATCAACAATTTAATAGCGATAAAAAATAATTATTAACCTGTAAGTACAAAGTATATTTTTTTCTTTAAATTGTCTGTTAGTTGACATGGAAATACTTACTTTTCTTCCCATCTGTTTTTTTATTATTGTTATTATTATTAATTTTACAATTTCACGTTACTAAATGTCACCCTAAATCATCACAATATTCGTATCTTTAATATGAGAAATTAAAGATATAATTTACTTTTAGTTCAATTTGATATATATGGAGATGCAAGATTAAATTCATTTAGAATTTGAGAAATGATAATTCGAGTGTAGTCCAGCTAATCTCGATTTCTTATTTAAAAAAACCAATAATTTAAAGTGTTCTAAGTTAAGCAGGATTGAAATAATAGCCTATCGAGCACATTTTAGTTATAAGAACTCTTTTAATATTCTGGGATTGATAATTATAGTTTCATATTCATAAAATTCAAAGCATTTGTTGTCATTTTTTGCAACTTTTATTCTAACGCTACCAACAAAAACAAATAATTAATACAAACGAATTAAAAGAGAAGGCCAATTAGAATTTCCATTGCAGCACTCAAATTCATCAATTTTTTTTTTCGTTTTGTTCTTATTCAACAAATAATGAACAACAATTCTACTATACTGATTTCACGCATCAAATTAAATCAAATACAACCAAGGATTCTATTCAATAGACTATGGAGAATCAAGGCATTTTGGAAACTGAGAAGAAATAAGAAGAAATTAATGCTTAAATACGGTATGGGGTTTGAGTTTTGAGTATTTTTATTAAGAAACTGAAGAGGAAAGGAAGATGATGGTGATTTTATTAATCAATTTATTTGGATTATTACACAGTAGTAGCAGTTGCAGAAAAAGAAACTAATGGACTCCAAAATCCGACATGTCGAACCAGATTTGCTTGAAAACTTTGATGATGATGTCGTGATATTCATCCGTGTTGAGAGAAAGATAGCATGCAAGAAGATCTTCCAATTCATTGGACGCACTGATCTTATTCTCAACGATCATCTCCACCATCGATTCTCTGAAATCCCTCTGCGGATCGCTCGTTGACTTCACGATTGCCAAGCTGCCATCGGTCAAACTTCTCTTCGACACGCTTTTCCGGCGGCTCACGGCGGCCGGCTGCCCAAATCTCTTGCTCGAAACTCTGGGAGAGTTCATTATCATCCGAAACTTGGGCCCCGGAGAATTCACCGTGAACCGCCGCGACGGGCTGCTCCTCGGCTCTCTATCTCTCGCCAAACATTTGTCCTTCTTTGTAATTGCGGGACACGTGGACCCATCCGCGGCGTCGGTGGACGATGATCTCGTAATGATTGGGGGAAGCAGGTCACCATCCGAGCCGTTGGATCGTCTCTGGGGTGAAGTTTTAGTAATATTAGTAGCGATGGCGTTGGCGGCGGCATCATCGACGTCATCAGATGGAGATGGATACTGATCACTTGTGCGTTCCGCCACGGAATCTAGCGCCGCACGGCCGCCGCAGCTACAGCCGGAGGAAGAAGTGTTCCGAGCGGCGACGGCGGCGGGTCTTCGCTTCGGCTTTGCTGATCTGGACGATTTTCTGGGTGGCTCGGCGGGGGGCTCGTCGGCGAGTTGCAGCTGTCTGGTGAAATGATGGGACTTTCTTGGGTGCGGCTGCGGCTGCGGCTGCGTGTGGGAGGCTGAAGAAGAGGACGAAGAAGGCTGCTTTTTGTGATTCCTTCGCCTGGTGCCGATGTCTTTGAGCTTGTAAAACCAGGCATTGGGCATCATATCCGATAGCCTAAACCTATAATTTCCCATCCAAATATTATTACTCCTCTTCTCTGCTTCTGCTTGCTAATAACGCTAGCCTCGCTCGGTTGCTTCTTCGCCCGCAGGAATGCCCAAAAAATGGTTCAACATAAAGGCAAAAGGAAATGGGGTGGGTCCACAAGGTTAGTTGGCTTTGAATTTATTATGAGAGCTTAATTACCTAATTCTAAGGAAAAAGCTTATCTAATCATTATTATCTCCTTTTACGCTGCTTTGGTTGTTTTGCAGTATTTGATGGGTCTCTAAAATGTGTAAACAAAATTTCACGTTGACTAAAAAAAAAAGTAATCCATAATATATAGAAGAAAATAATTATCTCCATTGATATCAGATGTTTTGGATGAAATAAAAACAAAGTCACGAAAAGATATAACATCGTCTCATTGTATTGTGGAAATATTTGAAGGTTGAATTATGTTGGATTGGACAAGTGAACCTAGCTATTCTAATGAGTGCATAGTAACACCAAATTGCAACAATATCTATTAAATATTTGGAGGGATTTTGCAATTTTGCAATTTCCCCGTTTTTTTGGCTTATTAATTAGCACAATAATGGTTCTACTTGCTACTGCTCGAAAGAGGCGCAGTGTAGGGCTTTGGTTCTACACTGTCACTTATTTCCCAACAGTTGCAACTTTTTCTACTTCTTGCACGACCAAAAACCAAATGCAGAAACTTCTGCGAGATTGAATATTAATATTATTGTGTTGCATTAACTATTACACGTCAATTCCCCCAGATCATGCCACATCACCCATTCACATGCATCTTTCTAAAACGCTGTTTGTTTGGCAGTTTATGCACAGTTTTTTCACAACTATTTACAAACAACCCGACTAACCAATTAAGGCCCCGTTATAAAATTTCATATTCAATTTCAACATTCTATACATTTTCAAATTTTATTATATAATTAGTTGCTTCCTTTGTTATAAATTTACATTTTATAAATAGGAAGTGCTAATCTTGTCAATCATGCATTCTTTTTTTTCTTTTCTTTTTTCAACGATGGGATGTTTTTTCATTTGCTATAGCACAAAAACTATTATATAACCATATTGAATTGGTAAATATTCTTACAAAAATAAAACCATTCAATTTTATTGGTACAAAGTTCAAAGAAAATATTTAAAAATGCCATTTTGGTGCCTGCTTAGGTCAATGTTGTTGAATAAAATTAAATACAGTGAATGAAGAGAGAAACTTAAGAATAGAAAAGTTGCCGTGCACACTATATATTAGAGCTATTAAAAATTACTTTTTATGTAAAAGGTTAGAAATGAGAGTTTTAAGAGAATGGATTAAGATAAATTTAATATTTTGTAAATACTAATTTAACCATATTCTATTTTGTATATCATGGAGGGATAGAGTGGGGTTGAAAAAATAATTTAAATGAGTCACATCTGAGTAATATTTGAAAGTAGAAATTTTAATTTATCTCTTAAATATTGTTGCTGCCATATTGAATAATAACCTCTCCAGCCACCGAGGTGATGAAATCTCACCATAGATAAGTTCCAAATGGTAACTCAGATATAATCTAAACTTATTTTTTATTTACAGAGAGGGGAGACGGTACTTTCTTTTTTAGGAATTAAATGGTGTAAAGAGATTGGATGTACCATGAAAATGGCCAAAAGCCATGAAAAAGAAAGCAACGCCCAACACGACAAACTTACCCTGCTGGTGAAAACGCCTCGTAGGTTTATCTGATAAAATAATTAATCGACGAATACAAAATGTCAAAGAGGAATACTGATCCTACTGCTTCTTCTTCGACCTTCAGAAAATGATGTCTCGAAATAATGTTGGACTCTACTTTAAAAAGGACAACATCTTCATCTCAACTCTGACCGTACGCAAACTCTGTTTGAGCTGATTTTTTTATAATTCTACACACACAAAAAGATAGTATTTATTAATAATATATGGCCATTTCCCACAAATCCTACGCTGAAAGTGAAAAGGGAGTATTTAATTTATGTCCACAAGTCCTGACCAATGATCAAGTCTGGTCTTTTCAAACCCGAAAACTCGGTGGCCCATATTGTATTGGGCCCTTATGGACTTTTGGTCTTTGCCCATTCAGCCCATTTACGTTGGCCCAAATACACCTATCCATCTTGTAAGCCTGCGTCTAATGATGTAATTAGGGATGTTCATGGGGTGGCTTCCCCGTCGCCGCCCCCATTTAATTCTTCATCTATCTCTGCGAAAGTTTCTATGAAATTTTCATGGAGATCGGAGTGGAGACTCTACGTGGAGAATTTGTGGGGATAGGATTTCTCGTGAAAATTTTTTCTCCATTTTTTATTTTTAAATTGTTTTTCAATAAATAAATTTTTTATAGAATTTTTTATTTAATTGCTTAATTTTTAAGGTCTAATTCTATATATATATATATATATATCAAAGTTGGTGGTTATACAAGAATACATTGTTTTTTTTAATGTATATTTAAAGAAGATGATATAATTATTTGAGTGTATACATATATATAAATATTTAAAGAAATGACGTAGGGCGGAGAATGGAGATGGACAATGTATTCCGATCCTCATTTCTATTTAGATGGTGGGGAAAATCTTTCCCCTGTCCTTGCTCCTACGGAGACTCTAAACGGTGATTCCCTACTACTATTAAGCGAGTCAGATAAGGATGGGCCCCACGAGAAAGTGAACATTCTTAAATGTAATGTTGATGCAAATAGTATAACTAATTTAATTCTTTACCATGTGCATGTTAATTAATATACACGACATGTGTATTTTGGTGTCAAACGTCTTACTACATAACTATGAATTAATCATTTTTCAAAAAAAAAAAAAAACTATGAATGAATTACTAACAACTTAAAGTAAACATATTATCAAAACTGTTTTGATTAGCATCATGACAAATGTCAAATAGAGTTACAAAGTATTTGAGGTGTTTTTATCTCTCTAAAAAAGGATGGTGTTTTTACAAAATTTCCTTAGGAAATAATTTTACTTGGCAAAAAGTGCTGTTGAAATTTAAATATTTAAAAAATGATGTAATTACCGACTTTATATCATTTATTGGAATGTAAAAGCGTATTAATTAAATTTAGGACTGGTCTGATGAGAAAAATATTTGGTAATAAATGAGGAGGGGAGTAGTATGTATATAGGCTGAAATTCGATTACGAAATCCAAGGTCAAGGTTTTCGGACCAGGAGGTGCAAGAAAAGAAAGACAGGCGGTCCACGTGAACCGGGTCCAAGCCAGCGGATTATTGCTTCTGTAATTCGTTTACCCACGACGTTTAAAAATCCTTCATTTTATTCTCCTTCTCTCTCGTACTCTTATCCATCTCTTTTCAGAGTTTCTTCGCTCGGACGCACGACCTTGACGACGGCACCGACGCTCTTTGGACTAATCGGATCATCTCGTCGACGGAGGGATTTCTGGTTTTGAATCTGTATTTAATTGGGTTCTCATTTTTATATAATCTCGTGCTGCCATGGCTTCCGAATCTCCTAGTCTTTCCAATTCCTCAGCTTCCAGCGACTCCATGCCCTGAGAAATCTGAATAGTTTAACTTATCAATTTCACTGCTTCTGCTGATGTCCGATTCCCGAGGCATTAATGGAGGATTAGTATTCTGTATGCAAGGTTTCAAGATTTTATAGCTCCTAGGGTTCTCTACTTTCTTCGAAATTTCCTAATTGCTGTTTCTATTAGGAGGAGGGATTAGGGTTAGGGTTTTTGGCCGGAGGTTGCCGGAGGTGAAGATCGAGGATTGTCCACGGTTTTGGGGTTACTTCCGTTGGATTCTCGACGTGGAGCATAGGCGGCGTGGGTTTTGGGGATAATGTGTATACTGTGCGTGATTCAGAAGTGGTCTCGCCGGGTCGCTACGATGCTTCCTTGGTTAGTTATTCCGCTGATAGGACTGTGGGCGCTCTCTCAGCTATTGCCGCCTGCATTTAGATTTGAGATTACAACACCCAGGCTCGCTTGTGTTTTTGTGCTTTTGGTTACCCTCTTTTGGTATGAGATTTTAATGCCTCAGCTGTCAGCTTGGCGTGTGCGCAGAAATGCCCGGCTTAGGGAGAGGAAGAGATTTGAAGCGATTGAAATGCAGAAGCTCAGGAAAACGGCAACAAAACGATGTCGGAACTGCTTGACTCCATACAAGGATCAAAATCCTGCCGGTGGTCGGTTTATGTGCTCGTGCTGTGGTCATATTTCAAAAAGACCAGTTCTAGACTTGCCCATACCACCTGGGTTTTCAAATTCTGGTATTATTAAGGAACTTGTTGGAAAGAGTGGGAAAATATTGAACCAGAAGGTGTGGCCGGATAATGGGTGGATGTCTGGCCAAGATTGGTTGGAGAGTGGCAATTGGGTTGGAAAGTCTGTTGCCGGAAAATCTAGTTATTGGAGACGGAACGGCAGCAGTCTTTGTGGAGGAGATGAGCATTGTTTGACGGAGAAGTCTTATTCAGGTATTATGTTTTTCTGCTGTAACCTTTTTACATCTTCTTTCTTTAGCGTTAGATGGCTTTGCAGAAAACTGTTTAGGATAAGTTCATCAAGAGAAGACAGTTTATCTGATTCTGAGCATAGGGGGATATTGGCTAAGATGGGCGAGAATGGGGGCAGCTTCCAGGAGAGTAGGGTCGAAAAAGCCCGCAGAAAAGCTGAAGAGAAAAGACAGGCTAGATTAGAGAAAGAATTATTGGAGGAGGAAGAGAGGAAACAGAGGGAGGAGGTTGCAAGATTGGTGGAGGAACGCAGGAAATTGAGGGACGAGAAAAAGGGTGCGGAAAAGGATCGTGACAGAACATCACAACTTTTCAGAGAGAAGGATGGGAAAAAGGAGGCTGAAAAGAAACGGCAGGAGAGAAGAAAAGAGAAGGACAAAAATTCAAGTAAGAGTAATTCTGATGCAGAAGAGTTGGAGAGGAGAACTGGTAAAGAAAGTGAAAGGAAGCGGGATCAGGACAAAAAGGGTGAGATTGATCGTCGTGAGAGTCAAAAACTTGGGCCAGAAAGTGCTAAAGGCCAGAGCACAATGTGTCATAGTGTAAAGAGTATCCCTGGAAATAATTTTGGCCGAGGGTATGCTGGTTCCAGGTATCTTGATTGTATGCGGGGAACCTTTTTGTCTTCTTCTAAAGCATTTGGTGGTAGTAGTTTGTTTGGAAAGGTTTATAATGCCCCGGCTTCTGTTGTTAAAGAAAAATCTAACAATTCTGTTGATCATGTAAATACGTCTGTTTCTACAAGAGAAATGTGTCCATCTGAGCGTGTGATTGGGAAATCTGCTTTGAATGGAGATGATAAGAACATCAATCATCTAGTAAGTTCTATTGCTGTGTCATTTCCCCCACCCAACACACACACACACAGACAACAAACACTGTTTACTATGTCGTATGAAGGAATGACTTTGTTTTGTTCCCTCTCTTTTTTGAGTTCTTTTGGGAATAACTTCTGTCTGTAATTCTCGTATTTCTATAATTATGATCAACTAGAGAACAATTTTCCGATCTCCTTAGCTTTGTGGATAGGAGGCCCTTTTTTGTAGATACATACAGCTCTTAAAGAATGTTTGACGATTAGGAAGTTTACCTATATTTTAGGTATAAATTCTGCATTTTTTTTAATTGTCATATATGAACTTTATGCCCCTCAATATTAAAGAGATGACTTTCCCTGCATTTGATAAGGTTGTCTACACGATCCAGTTGGGAGTATTCAAAGATAGCTTTCAAAACCTAGATACTGCAGTTTTTCATATTAAATATTGGTATATTGAAATGAAGAGCAATGACCTGAAGTTCTTGTGTTCGCTGCAGGTATTCACTGAATCACCAGCTGTTGTAGCACCTAAGAAATCTTGGCAACAGCTATTTACCCGTTCGCCATCTGTCCCTTCATCCACTAGTGCCAATGTCATAAGTAGGCCGGTAGTGAAGCCCTTGCCCGATATTAGCAATCCACAATTGTCTGGACAAGTTATTGGTCCACAGTTATCTGGGCAAGTTCATGGACCACAGTTACCTGGGCAATTATCATCGACACAAACATATGATAATCCTATTAATTTTGGTCTGCCATCACCTTTTACTATACCTATATATCCTAAGGCCCCCACATGTAGTAGTTTAGGTTTTTCACCTGTAATTGAACCTCAATTTCCTCATGTTGCTGAAGGGACCCACGAGTGCATGCCTGAGGAACCGGAGCTTTTTGAAGATCCTTGTTACATACCTGATGTAGTGTCCTTGTTGGGTCCTGTATCGGAGTCGCTTGATGATTTTCGGTTAGATGTAGGCACTGGCTTTGTATCAGAAATTGGAATGGAAAGACCACGGACTCTAAAGACTGCTTCTTCTGAAATTAACAAACCATCTCCAATTGAGTCACCTTTATCACGGGAAAAGCATAATTGTTCTAATCAATTCCCCAGCACCCCCAAGGCTTTGGATCTGAAAGGCTCTCCTAAGGACGAAATGAATGGAAGTGAGATGGGAACATGGCAAATGTGGAACAGTTCTCCCTTTGGCCAGGATGGTTTAGGCTTAGTAGGCGGCCCGGCTAGTTGGATTCTTCCTGCTGAATCTAATAGATTAACCAAGGACGATTTTTTCCAGCCCCCTCCTCAGAAAACCATTCCACCGGCATTCATTAAAGAGGATCAGGTCTTGTCTGGCACACTTTCTTCTCAGAATGTTTTTCTTGGTAATGGGCAAAGTGTTGGAACATTTAACCCTGTTATGGGCAGTGATCACGATCCGTGGTTAAAGAAGCCTTTCTATCCGCCAATATCTAGAAGTGAAAACAACTTCACTGTTAAGCCTCAGGATGAAACTGTTCAGAATGAAATGATGTATGGTAGTCCCAGCAGATCATCCACTATCCATCCGTTTGAGCTGCCTGCGACTAGTTGTTGGCCAATGTAAGTCCTGTCATGGAAAAATTTTCTGTTACTATTTTGTAATTGTTAAATTATTACGCGGCTGATTAAATTATGATTGGTGGCTGTCCTAGTTTTTGCCGAGCATATATAAATGCATACATGCATACCACACACTTTTTCCTGACTTCAGATATGTTCTGTCTTGACTGTCTGCAGATGCATCCTTGCATTGAAGACCGTGGGATAGATTTACAATAGTCTATGACTGTTCTTTTTACCTGAGTTGTTTTATTTGATCTCATTTTATTTTTATAAGAAACCGAGCTTTCATTGAGAGCAAATGAAAGATACGAAGAGCCAACAAAAACAACACAAGCTATAAGAAGTGGCCCAATCTAGAATAACGACACCTAACTGATAATTACAAAACTCCAAAGTTAAATGTAGCTATTTCTCACACTTCCTCCCAAGGCCTCTTTTGACCTCCTTAAAAATTATGTCGTTCCTCTCAAGTCAACCCCCCAACAAAATTGCCAAAAAACAAGCCTGCCACAAATGCTTTCGTCTATACCAAAAAGAGGGAAAGAGCAACTCCTCCTCCACAGTCCCTGTTGAGAGCCTAAGGAATGTTCTTCTGTATATACTGCTTGTTTCATATAGTAACTCGTAATTGATTTTTGACCTACAAGATTTTGTTCCTATTAACTACCACGGTGTCGAAATTTGTGCTTGCATTTCAACATATGCCTCCTTTAGTAATGTTCTTGTTGGAGATATGTGCTGTTTGGAACCGCTGCTGATTAGTTAAGGAAAATGGTATAATTCTCAAACTTATAATAGGGGTGAACATTCTCATGTCTGTCTGCTAATTTTATGGACAAATTAATATGCTATTGATTTGATTGGTAGCAGTGGTGCAAGAACCGCCTCTTTAAGTGAATGCAAAAGAAAAGACCTTATGAGCTCTTTTCGTCTGGGGTGTGAAAATACATTGCGAGTGACGGTTTATCGTGGACAAGTTGCATTTCTAGTGTAGTTAACATGATACATGGAAAGAGTTAACTATCATGTGTCACTGTGATGGAATTATGCTGTGTATGATTTCATGGCTTAGCTTGAGGATGATTCTGAACAATGATTTTACAGAGTAGTGGAATGAGTATTATATCTCGAGTTCACTGATTGTAATTTTATTGTGGCAGAGAATGGGATGCACAAGGCGCAGGGATGGGAGTCGGAAAGGCATCGGTTGTGAAGCCTCCGCCTGTGGGGGGTCTATTTCCCACACCAGATGTACAGTCACTGTGGTCTTTTGATATGAAAACGGGAAACTAACACTATATAAAAGGGTCTTATTAAAAAAAAAAAAAATCTTCTGTTCTCCAGAGGCAAATAGTCTCCGGGGATATATGGAGAGTTTAGAAGAATACTGGAATCCAATGTCTCCTGTTGTAAGGGAGATTGATGTTTACTTAGAAGTAGCACGGATAGGAATACACGTGGCATGCATTTATTTGTGCATCAGGTAACCGTTAGGGGTCATCATCCAATATAATCCATCATATTTGAAAGTTTCTATAACGGTAACACTGGCAAGAGATAGAGAGGAGGGGGGCATTTTGAAGAAAAACAAAAATGTAGCCTATTCCTGTTCTTCCTATTCCCTATTCCATTCTCGCCCTGAGCCTCACTACTAATTACTGGATGCCATCTGTGGAAATATCTCACACACATCTCATCTGCTCATCAACATCCACTTCTGTTATATAATACAGTACACTCTCCCTTATATTTTGTCAGCATGGAATGGAGATTTTTACTCCCTAAATCATATTCTTCTTCTCCACGTGTATAATTTTAATGTAGTTAGTTTTGAGATGCATTGGAGATGTAGGTTTTGTCTCCCACCACCTCCCCATGTGAAAGTTTCTATGCCTGTTGCTGTTTTTGCTACTTGTTTACCTGCTATGCTTATAACAATTGAACTTGTATTTTGATCCAAAACTTGTACCATGAATGCGCAACAAAAATGAATGTTGTAACTTTGGAGAGCAAACAATGAGGGCTAGACATTGGACTTTATTTGGTTACTGCTAGCTTTTCCCCGAATAGTTTGATCAATCCCCCTGAAGCAGCGTGGAGAGAGTGGGTAAAGAGTTATATCATCAATCAAATCTTTAGAACAAGCGTCACACTAATCGTAAAAACAAAAGAATTTGGAGGAAATACACAATCAATTCCAAAGCAGTAGAATCACAAATCCTAATTACATAGTTTACACACAGCATCATTTGAGGTTAGGGGTTGGCTTCTTCCTCTTCTGATTATTATTGTTCTGCTTTGCTAAGAATAAAGGGAACCGAGCAGCAAATCCCGATTTCTTTCGCTTCCTATTTGACTGTTTCTGATCGCTTTCTCGTTCAACCCTCCTGCAATTCGGCATATCGTGATTTTGCTTCCCGAGCATCTGCGCCAGCGACACCTTTCGCTTCAAGAACCCCCTCTCCGCCACCATCCCCGACTTCAATTCTTCTTGCAGAAACAGCTTCCTGCTCAGTATCTGTCCTATTGATAGAGTTGGCTTCAGAACTGGCGTGGTGGTGGATTCATGGACGAGCATCCTTGGTCCATTGACAGTCACAGCAATTGGACAGTACTCCATCTTCTTATCACGCTCCCATCCCCATTTCTCCACTGCTTCTTTTACTGCAATCTCTTCCCTCTTTGCAGCCTCCATACTGTTCAGAGCCTCTTCCAATGCAAGTTTTGTGCTCTTGATTTCTTCCGTTGCTTCTTTCACCTGTTTCAACAGTTTCATTTTTGACTCGTTTCCCTTCTCAACTTGCTTGAATTCTCCTCCAGATTGAATCTCTTGGTTCGTTAAGACCTTGACATCTTCCAATGTAACAGCTTCAGCTACTTTTGCTGCCTCCTTCATTTTTGCAGCTGCTGCCAATCTAATTTCAGCCGTTCTTATCTTGGCCTTTCTTCTTTCGATCTTCGATATCGTCCTCAGGATTTCCGATTTTGCAGCTTCCCCCATTTGTTTAAACTTCTCTGCCTCGGAATTCAAAATCTGCAGCTCCTTGAGAATTTCAGAACCCTGTTCATCATTGCTAGAATCCCCTGCAACTTGAAGAAGCTTCTGCCTTGTTTGATTCAGTTGTTCCTCAACTAATGACATTTTCAAAGAATTCTGCTTCAGTCTCTCCCGAGTTCTCTCCAGCGACAGCCTCTCTCTCTCTAATTTCTTGTTAAATACCTCCATTGAAGCTCGAATCTCAGCAATCCCTTTAGTGGTTCTGTTCAGATTCCGCTGTGCCTGCTTGAAACTTTCCACAAATTTCAGGCTTTGAATCTTGGGATAGCCATTGTTTTCCTTATCGTCTTCTTCTTCGGCTGCAGAATCCGTGTTTTTAATACTTACTTGAGATGTTCCCTTCCACAGCTTCTCTTTCAAATCCTCAACAAACGATCTGGTCGATTCAAGTTCTTGTAAAATATGCAGAGTTTCCCTCTGCTTCAAAATCAGATCATTTTCCAGCTCACATGCCTGCTCCTCCAGCTTTTCGAAGCTAATTTCTTCAACTTCATGTCGCTGACAAAAAATTTCGAAAAACGAAACTTGTGACAGATGAATCAAGAACCAACCCAAAACAGAGGGATAGAGAGAAAAGAGCTGACCTCGTTTTCGAAGGGCTTGTTGGAGGGTTTCCAGTAGCCGACTCCACCGAAACGACAGACAGCTTCCTTAACAGATTCGAAGGGGGCCGACGTGTCGATCTCGGCTCTCAGATTGATCTCCTTCCCATAACCCACGTCTGATTTTGTCTCCATTTTCGCAAAATCCGATCTTTGGCAGCTCTCTACGCCAGGCCCCACACACCCATCTGCTCCACAAACTGCCTGCGTTTCATCCATGGAGCCTTGAGAACAACCAAATTCTTCACGGAAACGACAACGGAAATTATTGACTGGAGTAGAACAAGAAGATTAATGCAATGGACAAGGAAGAAAAAACGAGCGAGACAAAGCAGGTTGAAATCCAGACGTTGATGGGTTTTATTTAAGGAGAGAGAAATAAAGTAAACGAATGGAAACGAAATGACCGATGGCCAGGTCGGGTCATTGATATTTGAAGTTTGAAGCCTGTGGGGTCACAATGTCCAACGGCAACATACGCCAACGGCTTTCAACGCTTTTTTTTCTTTTTTTTTTTGCTTTTTTGCTTTTCTTTTTGTAGACCGTTTAAAGCATTTACAATTACAATTCAAGATGAAGAAGCTTAAAGGCATTATTTGGAATTGGCTTGGCTTCCACTTTGGCCCCTCATTATCCTTCACAACCAAAAACAATGATGCTACATTTCTTTACTGTTCTTTTATTCAAACTTCAATTTTAATACCCTAATGTAGTCAAGTTATAGTATTTTATTTCTTGTATTTGTCAAGCAATACTTTGACTAATTGTGTTGAAATTGAACTACTTTTACTTTTGGTCACTTTTGGGAGTTTGGTAACTTTACTTACAATTTTGATTTTAAAAGTAATCTTTTATAATAAAATAGAGAAGAGATAAAAGATGAACATGTACGTATGAAAATGAGTTTTTGATTAGTAGAATGCCCCTGAAATTACAGAAAAGGCCCCTTGTGAAGCAGGCCGGCCCATGATTGTACTCCTCAAAACTTTACGTCGGCCCACATTCCAACCAACAAAGTCCTCCCCAGTACGGTGGGCCACAACAATAAGCTCCGAAAAAGCATAAAGATTAGTACATTCATAGCCTATTTAGAGACTATAATTACCTAAAAGATTGAATTGTATAAAATTTACACTTTTGTCATTGAAACAACCTCATTTACGATGGTACCCATCATCCAATTTACTAATATATCCTTTTGTATCTCATCTCAATATTAATTAATTTTAAAAATCCAAAATCGGCTACTTTGGAGTTGGAGGTTACATTTTAAATTCCTTAAATTTTGCCTAATTAGACTTTTCAAAATTGAAAAATATCAAATCCCCAAAATCCCCATTATTGAAAAAATTCGAAAACCTCATTCCTCCGACTTTTCTTCTTCTTCTATCGTTCTGTTTCCGTCCATTCCTCCGTCTCCGGCCGCCGTCTGCGTTCCTTTATCTCCGACCGCCATCTCCGTTCTTCTTTGTCGCCAGAACAATCCGTCTAGCTTCTCTTCAGTCTTCGACCGTCCGTCAATTGTTTCCGTTCGTTTATCCCGAGGTTTCCCTTTTGTCGCTGGCTGCCCGTCGATCATTCCAGCCCTGCATTTATCCCAGCTATTGTCTAGTCGCTAGAAGATTTGTAGGTTATTTGCTTTGTTTGTTAATTGTATAGGAATATAATCGTATATACTTTATAGCCAGATATAGGTTATATCTCCATATAAATATATGTTCTAATAACTATAGTTTATATCACCATTGTTAAGTATATGTTGATTAAGTTTATAGTCGGATATAGTTTATATTTTCATATAACTGAAAAGGTAGTCGGAGATATATATATATATATATATATATATATATATATATATATATATATATATATACATATTTTCTATGTAATAAAATGAAAAATATTTGTAATAAATTTCATTCTTTAGTAGAATTCTGTAGTAGAATATATTAAAGAGTAAATTAGGGAATTATGAGAATGATTGATTTAAGTTCCACAGTAATTTAATGTTTACAAAATTGAATTTGTAATATTAATCTTTTACATTTAAATAAAAGACAAATTATAATAAATATAAATGCCATAAATAAGGACAAATTTGACATTTAAAAAAAGTTTTAGATCAAGAAATGTAAGACTCTAAAATTTGTAAACATGGGACCATTTGTAAAAATAAGTTTGCAAAATAGCTTATCCAAGACATTATCTCATGATGCAATTTTTCAGCTAGCTCCATCCGTAAGAAGTAAGAAGTGACGGGAACACAGTGAACACCAAAATCTTTGCTATGAATTGACTAAGTTGTAATTCAACTAATTAAGACATATATCCCAATTATATATCCCAACCAGGATCATGGTTAAAAAAAATAAATAAAACAAACACAGTAGATTGCATTCCATTTTAACTTTTAAGACAGAAAAATTCGAAATTAAAATAATAACAATAAAGACTATTGGAACCTTGTTTGGTTTAAATGGTATTTTGACTCACTTGTTCTGTCCCACGAGTTTTGAGCAAAAAATGCCAGTTTTGCCGCATTCATCAGCTAAGCTATATCCCCCAACTTGACCAAAAAAACAACAATTTTGTCGCTCCCTCCAATTCACATGAACAGAAAAAAATAGGGTAAAAAAAA